ATTAAAATTTGATAATTTAATAATCAATCGTTGCTTAGCAATTTTTGACAGATTTGTGCTAGAAAGGCCAATTTATGCCCGCATTTGGGTGCTTATACAAAATATTATGGTTCTAAAATAGAATAAAAATGCTAAATAGGTCGATATGGTTTTTAAAAATTGGTGTTTGTTAATAATAACGAGCTTATACTAGTGTTGAGACACCAAGTAATCGTTTTGAAAAAGCTTAATTTTTCACATGAAAGGTCAATTACATAACGTTGTTATTCTGAAGAAGGGAACTAGTCTGCATTAGACGCATACTCGTATTTCCTTAATTCAAACATTATTTTGCTGTAACTTTTTAAATTATCTAGCTGAAAATGAGAACAGGGGTTCTCGAAATATGTCTCATAGTAAGAATAAAAACAAAATGAATATTATAATATGATTCATTTATTTAAATGTACAAAACATCAACAAAATTAAACATTCAGATACTATTTTCTGTCTGTCAACCTTTTTCTAAACTAAGTTCCATTACAAACTCCCCCTCTAAACAACACAAACGGCCCTCCGGTGTTGTTTAGGATGAAACATTCTTTTTAGGACGACCCCTCCTCCGTTTTGGTATTAAGGGCGTTAATGTATCAATTCCAGTCCCTTCAACAAACGGGCTGAGGTCCGCGGCGTGATAACGTCCAATTCTTTCTGGAGGATTTGTACAGCTTCCTAACTCGTAGATTCTAGGAAAAGCAATTCGCAAGATCATGTAAAGACCATCCCTTTTTGGGGCAAGTTTTGAAGAGAATCCATTTTTGGAGCTACTGAAAGTATGAGATTTTAGGAGAACCTTGTCACCCTTCTTGAATACAGCTGGTCGTCGTCTGGAATCTAAGCGGGTTTTCTGGACATCTTGTTTCTTGCGATTTCTATCCATTGCCTCAGACAGAGTAGTAGCTAGCTTCTTTAAGTAAGGAGTTATTCTTGGTATGAAATTTTCTGCATCAATCACTTTGCGTAGATCATATACAGGATCATAAGGAGCTCGTATCTCCCTACTAAATGTGAGAAACGAAGGACTATATCCCGTAGAGTCGCAACATGTAGAATTTATGGCGAATCGAATGCTGCTCAGGTGATGATCCCATTCTGAGTGGTGATCTTGAACCAAAATGGCTAATTGAGTCTTCAATTCGCGGTTCTTCCGTTCAACAGGGTTACTCTCTGCATGATACAAAGGAATGAACGGAGTTGTGTTTCCGAAACAATAAGTAATTTGCTGCATTACATCACTGATAAATTGTACGCCGTTATTAGAAATCATTTTCCTCGGAGTTCCAAACGGCATGAATATTTCTTCGATGAGAATTTTTGCACAAGATTCAGAGTCAGCTTTTACTAATGGGAAAAGTTCTACCCATTTTGAAGCAACATCCTCAATTATTAGGATCCATCGATTCCCCCTGGGAGTTGCCGGTAGAGAGCCAAATAGATCTACAGCCACAACTTCGAATCTCTGGGAAGGGGCTGGGGTTTGAACTAGGCCCGCAGGTTGACAATTCTCTGGTTTATATCGAGCAATATATTTTCTCATATCTGTGAAGTAAAATTTTGAAGAGATCTTTTGAAGGGTTCTTTCGATGCCGTAGTGTCCCCCTGTAGGCGAATTATGGTACTGAGCCAAAATATCTTCACGCAATTCTTTAGGAATCACTAACTGGGGATCTTCAGAGTCCACATATGGGTTGAAACGGAAGAGAACACCATTGTTCATCACGTATCCCCTCCCAGACCATCTAGACGGTGTTGACGGTAGGTCAACACTAACGAAGTAGGTCTGTATCTTTTCTTCTTCATCCGAGCAAAAAGGTCAAGACAACAGACCAGCTACATTTTGTGTGTTAATTCGATGCGTAGCAAACGTAGTTTCTCCCCCTTGTTCGAAGATGGTGCTATTCTTATGAAGTAGGGTGTTTATTTCATCTTTTGCCGTGTCTTTAATCTTCTGAGCTTCATTTTGGCGTAGGGTTATGGAATTAATGTTTACAGAGTTTGTTTTAATTCCATATTTGAAAATATGTTCTGGTTTATTTCTAAAAAACCAACACTCCTTTTGGAAATCTATACCAATGTTAGCCTTCTTCAAGAATTTCCGCCCTAAGAGCGTATGGTTCTGGGTTAAATACGGCATTATAACAAAACTAGTTGGAGTTATTTTGTCTTTTATCTTAACGTCTACATTTGTTACCAGTAGTTTCTTATCTCTAGGAATTCCGTCAGCTAATGTTACCACTGCATCCATTGTTTCAAACTTAACTACCTTATCTTGTAACAGCTTATAGAGGGTGTGACCAGCTATGTTCCATTTTGATCCTCGGCGAGTCCAATTCCTTTTGCACCTTTGACTTCTAAGGGTAAGATTGGAGCGTCGCAGCTTGATTCATTTTCTAAAGATAGCCGTGAGAATTTAAACAAGTTAGTTTTGACGTCTGCTTTTTCTTTGCATTTCGGGCAGTTCCATCTGTAGTAGCCAGGAGTACCACAGCCATAACACTCAAGTTTTGATCTTGCTGATGTTGACTTTGACAGTTCTTTATCATCGTTTTCTTTTCCCAGTTGACGACACTTATTCTTTAAGTGACCAAATTTTTTGCAATGTTCACAACGAGGTCGTAACTTCTTTATTTGCATTCCGTCCTGGTTTGTGTTTCTTTCTTGTTTGCGAAACGCGGATTCACGAAACGATTGTTCTATTTAGCGGGCATCAGTGGCTTCGTGTTATGTTTGCTCACGAGCAAAGAGTTCTCGGAAGACTACATGAGGGGGTAATTTCTTCGAATACACTTCTCTGAGGATATTTACTGCACTCTGCCAGTTTTTCGTCGACGGTTTGATTCCTTGCCACCAAGTAGCAGCGCTAGACTCGAGCAACATTGAAAGACCACGCAGTGCATTTTCGTCACTGATATTGGTGCAGTCTTTATATGTTATGATGTTGTCTAGAAAAGCTTCTACATCGGCGTCATCTGACCCATTAAATCTGGCACTACATTTAGCAAAACTACCTGCAGATCGAGTGTAAGAAGTTGGTGGTACGTTTCGTCGTGCCTCGGACTGTTGTGTAGTTGCAGCTTGCTCCTTAATTGTCGATAGTAGTTGCTTAAATTGGTCAGCCGATAGAGTAACTGAAGCTGGAATATTAAGTTTCGGCGGCATCATGGAATTTTGCACACAATTAACCGCGAATGTACAATGGGGTGCTTCGAGCCACTAGGGGGGCGCCAATTATAATAATAATAATAATAATATTAATAATAATAATAATAATATGATTCATTTATTTAAATGTACAAAACATCAATAAAATTAAACATTCAGATACTATTTTCTATCTGTCAACCTTTTTCTAATCAGCCCAATCTTCTTTTTTAATCAAAACTAAGTTCCGTTACAATATACAAAATTGTGCGATCGACCTACTTACTAATATTGATTTGTAGAGAGTAACGTTTTACAAACAAAATTCTCCACGTTCCATTACAACGTTAACTTATAAAACTGATGCTTAGATAATAATGTATTATGATGGGATCAGATATAGCACACACGTAAACTTTAAAATACTTTTTATGAGTGTTTAGAAAAATTAAATATTGTAGTATCAAGTCATTTGAGTTAAGAAAAGTTAAATTTTTCTTAATAAGAACGGAAATAAAAAATTTTAAATTAATAACTTAACACAAATTTTATTTCCTTGAATTAATTTTAGCTGCAAATTAGTTATTATTCTTATTTTAAATTTTGATAAAATATTGACTGTAACTTTTTGGCAGTTATTAAATAATAGAACAGCGCGGGATTTAAGAGTTAAAATTGAAGTTGACTTCCAACTACTAATTTTGTCTATTTCCTCTTTTTAATCTAATATTTTGGATACTATTTACTTGAAGTTTATATCCAACAGAATTCTCACTAGATCCTTCTGCTAAGATTCACTTATTTCAGACATTTTTTTAATTTTGTTCTGAGAAAACCATACAAGCACTCGCACAAATTTTGTATTTTAAGTTTGACCTCTTCACAGTAACGGTCCGTTACATAAACCTGATTCACCGTTTCTCTTTCTCGTTAAATCATTTTTGATAATTATCCGAGTTTGAAAACTTATTCAGGCACTATTGCAACAGACAAAAAGGGTTCATGGTATTAATCCCTCAAATTATATGCAAATTTTTGTGACCGTTGTGCGCAAGTGACCCTTACCTTTCAGGTAGTTTGCGCATAACTGTCCGGTGGTATTAGCATCACTACTTATAGATTTTTTTTACTGTGACGTGCAACTGACCTATGGCCTCATTAACCGTAGTTAGTAACCTACCGCATAGTTTCCTTCAGTTATCATTCTTGTTGCAAAATGTCATTGGCGGTTATATTGCAAAAAAACAATGTCAGTTTTACGTTGTATTGGTGTTAGAAAACAATAATTTTCCTAAGTAAAGAAAGACAAATTTTGTTACAGTATGACACATTTGTTTAGAATTTGTTTTTATAAGTATTTTGGAACTTCCTAGACACTTGACTGTACCTGCACAAGCTAATATCTTATTATGACCGTTTGGATTTACCAGTATACTAATACCACTTTAAAATCATACTAATAAAATTTGATGACATAATTAGGATAATTTGGTTGGCAATGCCGAGTCGGCTTTTCGCAGTAGGGTCCTTGTAAACTTGTAAACCCTGTCGTGTACCGATAGAATTTCCTGTGCTGTCCCAAGCAGAGGGTCTTTAGCGGTCGTACCTGCATAATTTATGGTTTCAGAGTTTTGCGGGTTGAGTTCTTTGACTAAGGTTCTAAAATATTATCTGTATGCTTTTAAAGTGATCTTAGTATACAGGTATACATGAACAGAAGCCGACCTTAACTCATCACTCACCAGTCAAGTCATCACTTATTCTTATTATGTTCATTTATCGAATTAATTTTCAGATTATTTTGGACAACAATTCTATTAATGTCAGTAACAGGTTGTGTTTATATGATTTCCGAAATACTGACCAAATATGAAAAAAATCCAGTGGTTGTGAGTTTTGCGACCAAAGACACACCCAACTATGAAATACCTTTTCCATCTGTTACTATTTGTCCAGAGTCTAAATTTCAAGGTAGTAAATTTAATTACACCGATATGTTTTATAAACGCATTCTTAGAAAGAAACCGCTCTCTAGTGAGGAGTAAGTAGGACCATTTAAATCAGATATTGTAACATTTAATTTGGATTTTTTAATTTCCAGTGTTAAACATTTTGGCTACATGACTGTATTGTGTAACAACGATTCTCCAATGGTAACACTTTACGCCAACGATACTGTAGAGGAAGACTTTTTTAGTGTTATTGAAGATGTAATAGAAATATTTACTTGTACTAGATGTATTATATATTTCATGAAAATGTTTTAATGCAACTCAATAGATGTTGTTTGATCGAACTCTCTAGCAAGTAACGTGAAATCGTAAAATTATTTACATTTTTAAAAATTTTGAAAAATAGGTTTAAATAAGTTCGTTTATTTTATTTTATTTCAAAATACATACAAAGAGAAAATTAGTTCCACAGAAAAACAGTTTTGTGAAATTAATTACAAATTTTTATTATGGAAACTGATCTTACAAATTTTGACTGTTTATACCTAACTGTACTTTAAAATAAGTAAACATGCTACAGTAACTTTGTATCTCTATTTTTTTGCATGTAATGTTACTCTTCTAATAATACTATTTTCTTTAGTTAAAGCCTGATGACGAAATATTCTGTTCATTCATGGATTCTGACAGTGCTTGTGTAAATTACGTTACACATATTATAACGGACCAAGGCATTTGTTACTCTTTTAATATCCTTGACAGAAACCATATATACAGAGAAAATATGTAAGTATTTTAAATCATCACAAATCTTTTTAATAATTGCCCAAATTAGATCTCACTACAAAGATTACCACACCATTGCTAATACGTCTGTTGATTATGACGGAGACTTAGGTTATAAAAAAACAGCAGGCGTTAACACATATCCTGTAAGAGCTTTAGCATCAGGGGCTGACAATTCTTTAACATTAATTTTTGTACATCGATCTCTAAACAATGACTACATCTGTAACCAATTTTTGAATGGATTTAGGGTAAGTAGAGAGATATTTCGTTATAAGTAGAACTGTAGTTTACCCCCTTTTTGTATTTTTTTGAGATAGTTCTCAGTACAATATGAGTCCACCGTTTTTAGTTTGTCCCTACTTCTTTGTTTCGAAAAATGGTAAAACGCAAATTAATAAAAATGTTTGTATTAATTTCCTCTAAAAACTGACAAGTGTGAATAGGTTACAGCACATTTAGAGTTTACTTACTCATTCCGTTCTGTGAGGGTAATGACTTAAAATTTGCTTTTGCTATTTGCCTTAAAATTTGGCTATTCAATTCCTCTAAAAATCTGGTAATTAAATAACTTTCGACTAGTGTAACAATGTACACACCAAAACGTTTTTCTCTTCTTATATGAAAATGAACATTGAAAGTTGATTAGTTATAGTAGATACGATCTAAGTATCTTTCTTCATTTTATTTTGGAACATGACTTTGATCCACATGAAATGTTAAATATAAATTTGAATTTTCAGATATCCCTTCATAGTCCAAGAGATGTACCAAGACTTTCACAATCGTACTTTCGTGTACCTCTTAATAAAGCAGTGACTGCTGCTGTGAAGCCAGAGTTAACACTAATTTCCCCAGCTGTTAAATCTCTTCGTCCTGAAACACGTAACTGTTATCTACAAAACGAAAGACCTCTACAATATTTCAAATTATACACCCAGTCAAACTGCTTACTTGAGTGCCTTACAAATTATACCCTCAAGAAATGTGGGTGCGTCCAGTACTTTATGCCACGTGAGTACAATTTTTGAGAGTTTTGAACAATTACTAGACCTGTGAACGTCAAAATAGGCCCTAGTTCTGTCGACCATGTCATTCTAATTAGGCATACGTATACCATTACACGAGTTTCAAATTTGAAACTCGACTTAAAAAACTACCTAGTTTAATTATTTTTAAATTTTGTACTTATAGGTGTTAACGACACCAAAATTTGTGGAGCGGGAAAGATACCTTGCGTGAAAAAAGCGCAAAGTGAGTAAACTGCTGCATTATTATTATATTAGTAACAATCTTATATAACCAACAGTTCAGCTAAAGATCGAAGAGTTGGAAAATAAAATTACAGAAAAAATGCGTCCAGAAGAAACCTTTTGTGATTGTAAACCATCATGTACTAGTTTGCGTTATGATGTAGAAATTTCCCTAACCGACAATTCATGGAAAGAATTTGCTATGGTATCACAAGAATACAACGAGTTTAGTAATATTAACACAACTGAGTAATTATTTTCGATTATGTCTAAAAATTTAAACTACGTTTACTTTTGTTTTAGTTCAGATATTTCTATGGTTTCAATTTATTTCAAAGATGAACAGTTTATTCCAATTGCAAGAAATGAAATCTACGGAGCAAGTGATTTAATATCAAATTTTGGGGGTCTTTTAGGATTATTTACAGGATTCTCCTTGATTTCATTGGTTGAAATAATTTATTTTTTAACTATAAAAATTTTTTATAACAGTAGATTGTATGTTGGTGGGGTTTATAATTATATGATGAGTAATTTGTAATAATTTTAACAGTACAGCTAGAATGTATTTAAAATAACAATAAGTTAAAAGAAAATTGCAATAGTATATAGACCCACCACTGACCCCTAAACCACCAGCATTCAGGCAAGGCTTTCATCATTACCAGTGCCGAGACCAAGTAATAATATACACTGATGAAACTGCTCACAAAATGAAAAACCTGATTTATTGTTAACAATTTTCCTCCGTTTTGTTTTTTGTTTTCGCGGGCGCTCACCAGACCACCTCCCCACAGAGGGAGCTGGCGCTTGAGCACCGCCGCTCCCGACCGAAGGCGCCACCCCCGGTGGCGTGAAAATGACCGCAAAAGCATAGGTCGGCCAGACGTGTTTCTGTTCAGCGACACTAGTCGACCCAAGTCTTGGCACCGAGGCACGCCACCCCCATGCGTTATCGGCGAAATTCGGGACCGTCACCGGAATTTCGTGGCAAATTTATTTTTTTCTTATTTGGTTATGAGTAACTCTATATGATCTATATAGCAAGTGACTGAGCTTATGGAACCGTTTTTACCCATGATATTAAAATTTTTGGAAAAAATTCAAAATTGAAGAACAGTATTTTTCTACTGAATTTTGAAATTTAGAAAGCGAATACTCTGATTGCAACCGTTTTATGGTGATCTTAGGCATAGTCAATAATAACACTGGTCAACAGCTAAACTCTAACTTTTATTATAGCAGCCAATTATTATTTAATTAACAATTTTAAATGATATTATAAACGGCTAAACCCAAACTTAGCTCTCATTTAAAAGTAATCTTCAATATTATCCTTTGAAAAATACAAAAATCGTACTATTAAGTAATAGGAAACTTTCTATAAGGTGTATTTTTTTGTGATCAAATTGCTACAAACTTCTTGGGAAACAATAAGAAAACTACGTTTAGTAAGTAGAAAACATGTTATCATCATATAAAAAATTTAAAATTAACATATTCTTAAAAGTGCATTTTATGTATTCGCATCTTGATTTTTTCCCCAAAAATTATGACGACGTGAGTGTCGGACATAGAGAACGCTTCCATCTGGGCATTTTGTGGATACAAAAACGTTACCAAGATCGATGGAACACCTAACACCGCAGAATACTGCGGGACCATCAAGCGAGAGATCTCCAATGAAATCCATAGGAGGCAAGCGAAAAAACGTCGGTCTTAGCTGTTTCTTTTGTTTTTTTCGTTTTTTAAACTACAATCGTTGTTTTTTTCTTAATTATGGTTGTTCTTTTGTTAATACATCACTTTTTGCCGTTAAAGATACAAAAATTAAATTGTTTTACCTGCTTTTTTGTTTTTAACATCAAATATGCATTTTTATTTTTAATTGAGCTAAGTTGTAAGGTTTATGCCCTTTGTTACAAACACAGAGACAAATTAAACGAAAACATTACAATTATGTCAAAGTTAGAGAGAAAAAATTGAATTTTGTTGACCAGTGTAATTAATCAAAATTTATATATTTTAACAATCCCTAAAAATGACGACGGCATCTTACAACTACACTCCTACTATATATAATTTATAAATCCATATTAAGATATTACCCTGAACCTCAAACTTTGCTAAATAAATCCTACCTAAAATACACAAATTCTTATAACTCTTTAGTGTAGTTTATCAATGGGTTCATAATTTTTAAAATTACTTCGATAGGTTGACACAAAACAATTAATAAATTGGAACAATTATTTTTTATCAAATCAAGAACTCTCATCCTATTTTCCAGAAAATGTGAGCCTACAGTACTGTTGTTATTAGTATTTGATTCCACCTATTCAAATTAATATACGTATTCTTGATAAAATGTTGATGACCTCATCACAAAATTTTATTATGGAAAAACTCACTTGAAACTTACCCATAGCATGTTCCTTGACTGCCCGTTAACAACCCACACATATCTTTATTTTAACTTACAGTGTTTATCATTAAAAACACAATTTAGAAAATTACATTTCATAATTCGTTCGACTATACCTTATAGTCGAACATTTAAGTTTTAATTTAATGACAAACTTTATAATTATATTTATTTATAGCTGAAACTGCTAAGAGGTTCTGTAGGTATTTAATTGTCTGTTTTACTACCCACGTGATCTTGTAAATTTACAAGTTCGACGTATTTTTATCTATAATTAACAATTGCAAAGACTGAATAAATTATTATTAAATAAAAATCAAAAGTTTTTAAATAATATTGTCAGACACACAGGTGAAAACGGGAGACTATTTTTGCGTAATCTAGAGGTCATGAAACATTAAGAAAACATGAAAGTAGCCATTCATCCGATGGAGCCTATTACAAAGCTTCCTTAGTTTACGCTCGGAAAGTAAAGTAATTTTGCGGAATCAAATTTTATATATGATTTATCTAAGAAATTGAATTTGTCTGATTGTGCTTCAGGTGTAAGGAAAATAACTTCAGATCAATTTTTTCGAGTAAATCGTCGGTTAAACGTAACAACCACTAGTGAAGCTAATATAAAACAAAGCACCCTTTTTATATGAATTATTATCAGATGTAGGTGCGTAGTCCTGATCAAAACTCGTAAATATCCTAATGGGTTTTGTGTTTCAAAACTAATTAGCGGCCGCTAGCTTGATTCAATTATTTGATGCATTTCTGTTTACTCACGTGAATCAGCAGGCTAAAAGCGAACAATGTAACTCAGTGCTAATCCTCAGAGACTTTCTTCTGTATCTGATAGATCGGGCATTAACAAAATTAGACCAGTATCTTACTCGTCATTCACTATGAACGATCTAGTGCAAAGTAATGACCGTAAACCTAAAAGTGGCTTTTTTAAGAGCGTACGAAATTATTTTAGAGAATATTGTACGTGCACTAGCATCCACGGATTCAGATACTTTGGAGAGAAAAGAACCATCTTTGAAAGGTACAGTTGATTAAATAATCTACATAAAAAAATACAGAAAATTTTTTAGAGTTTGGTGGTTCATAATATTTATCATTTGTCTTTCTGCTTGTACAATTTCGATCTACGCAGTCTACAAAAAATGGGAGCGAAGTCCAGTAATTGTGAGTTTTGCAACAAAAGGAACTCCTATTTATAGCATCCCGTTTCCATCAGTGACTGTGTGTCCTGAGTCAAAGTCCGCACAAACTATTTTCAACTACACCAGCTTGTTACAAAAAAAGGAAGATTTTATAACATTGACTACGGAAGAGTAAATTGATTTATACTATGCTATTTTAACTGACTTTTTTTATATGTATATCTTTAGGGAAAAGCAGTTTGAGTATATGTCTTTAATCTGCAACTACAGAGACAATTATTTAACTTATAGTACAAATGGGACATTTCCGGAAGAATTCTTTGATGTTATACAATATGTCAAACCACAGTTTAATATTAGAGATTGTCACTACATGGGTAAAAAAGAAAATTGCAGTAAAATCTTCACTCCCATTATCACGGACGAAGGTATCTGCTACACTTTCAACATGTTAGACAGAAATGAAATTTTTAGGAAAGACGTGTATGAAGTAAAACTTCTGTGCTACTAATATCATTAAAGTCGATTTATTTCAGAATTCATTACAAACATTATCACCAAATACCGCGTAGTGCTCATCAGTGGAACATGGAAGATGGTTACACAGACGACTCGGGGGTTGACGCCTATCCAAGACGAGCATTATTAGCAGGAGCAACAAATGGTTTCACTTTTAATATCATCACCTCAAAACAGGACTTAGACTACGCCTGTAAAACCTCGTTGCAAGGATACAGAGTTGTGTTACACACTCCTATGCGTCTTCCTCGCCCCAGCCAACAATATTTTAGAATTCCACTGGACCAAAACGTCTTAGGAGCTGTTCAACCTGTTATGATCACCACATCCGAATCTATTAAACTTTATAATCCAAGAAGACGACAGTGCTACTTCATAACTGAAAGATATTTAAAATATTTTAAAATTTACACGGCTCTCAATTGCTTGATGGAGTGCCTTACGAATTATACGTTACATGTTTGTGGTTGTGTGAATTTCTTCATGCCACGTACGTATACGTAGTTACACAAAGTGTTATTTTCAAACCTTTCATATTTACACAGGAGAAAATGGAACCAAACTTTGTGGCACCTCACACATAGATTGCATGAGAGACGCCGAATGTAAGAATTTCGTCAGTCTAAGAACATTAAAATGTGTTTTATAAATTTTAGCAGCCATGCAGATGAAACACCTAAGAAAACAATTAAATAAACCATTAATTAAGCATCGAAAACATAAAAAGAAACCCAAAGTTGATTGTGATTGTCTACCTATTTGTGCAGATTTGTCGTACGATGTGGAAACCTCTCAAACTGACTGGGAATGGGAAAAGCAAAAAAAGGCTGACAGAAGAAAACACCGAAACTGTAGCGTAGCAGAGTAATTATTTTAATATTTAGTAGGTGTGTACATATCAATTTACATTTTTGTAGATCACATCTGTCTTCTCTGACGATATTTTTCAAATTTAATGCTTTTATTAGATCTCAAAGGCACGAACTTTACGGACCGACAGATTTTTTAGCTAACTTTGGAGGTCTCCTCGGATTATTTACAGGTTTCTCGGTTCTATCTTTAATGGAAATACTGTATTTTTTGTCCGTTAGAATGATCTGTAATGTTCGATTATATGGATATTGGGCGGGTAGAGAAACATAGGAACATGATGTATAGTACTATAATATTTTTATTATAACGAAGAAGAGGCACGTGAACAACTATTTATATTTAGATTTTGCTATTTCTCTATTTAAGTTTCGTAGTTTTTTAAAGAGTATACGACAAAAAATACAAAACTTTGTATAAGTTAACGTATTTTCGAAATCTAGAGGGTGCTGCAAATAAAGTGTAAAAAACAACTATGTATTCTATTAATTGCTTATGTTAATTTTATAGAGATAACCACTTTAACATGAAGACAATGTGTTTGCAAATAAGTGGATTGGCAGAGGCAGTGTGAATGCATGTCCCCCTCGTAGTCCCGACTTAACACCTTTAGGTTTCTTCCTCTGGAGGTTGTAAAAGAACAAGCTTACCAAAGTCCTATTCGTAATTGTGAAGATTTAAAAACCAGAATTAGAAATACATGTGCTGCAATAACTCCTGAAACACTTGCCTGCATCCACTTATTTTGCTTAAATCGCATCGAAATATGTATTGCGCAAGAAGGAAGGGATTTTGGACAGTACTTACGCTAGTTAAATTTATTTAATTGTTCAATTTATTTAAGTGTTCAATTTATTTATTACATTTCTTTGAATTAATATGTTGGTGTTTTTTTAATATTTCATTTGTGAAATTTTGATTGACGTCTTTCAGAAACAGTGACAACTACTAAGGAGAGTACATACGTTGATTTTAAAAACGTATGTGTTTATTTTGAAATCTAGCAATAACTGATAGATGTATGTTGTGCTGCATTGAAAATTGGTCAGGGTCCTGTTATTATAATACTCACCCTGTAGATGATGAGAACACAGATATGATACAAATATTCTTTTTTTCTAATAAAAATTGAAAGTTTTTATATTATATGTTTCAATGTTTCTGCATCATTGTGAACTTCATTCTTTCATTAAAATAGTTGTACCATCAACAATACAAAGAGAGTTACATATATTTTGAAATACACATATTATGACTATTGTTTTAGCATGGAGTACAGCTATCATGTATTCGGTTGTTACAAAAAATCCGAAGTGTTAAAAAATAGATGATTTCAAACAGTGACATTAAAGAAAATCCTGTAAACAGACCTAAAAGTCCTCCAAAATTAGATATGAAGTCTATAGTCCCATACATTTCTTTTCTTTGCAGTGTCATAAACTGTTCGTTTTTAAAATAAATTTTTAGATAAGACCATGGTGATCTAAAATGTATATTATTTGCAAAAATATGTAAAAATAAACCATAATTTATTTTTACACGTCAGTGGTTCCATTGCCAAACTTGTACCTGTCGGGCACGTCACTTAGAGATGTCTCTACATTGTATTTCAAAATATTACAAGATGGTTTACAGTCGCACTGTTTTTCTTTTAAACCCCGTATCTTTCTTTCTAGTTCTTTAGACTTCATTTCCTCTAAAAATATTCTACACTTAGTAGGTAGGTAAAGAAAAAAAAGTTGATTACTTTCAGCGGAGTCTACACACCCTTGTTTTTTTCCACTACAAATTTGTGTACCATTTTCTCCTTAAAAATAAAACGAGATAATGATGTACATAATATACTTACATAAATATAACACAAATTAAAAAGAAACTTACTCGGCATATAAAAATCTATACAACCGCATCTGTTCAGAGTAAAATTAGTGACACACTCCAGGAAGCAGTTTGACTGTGTATACACTAGAAAGTATTTCAGAGATTTTTCATCTTTTAAATAGCATCCCCTTGTGTCAGCATCAAAAGCTTTTACTCTGTCTGTAGTGGTAATTAGTTCCGGCTCCACAGCTACTATTATTGCCTTGCCATCTGGAATTTGAATGTAATTTTTCTCTAGTCTGGGAATATCTAATGGGCTATGTATTAAAACCTGAAATGAGCATAAATTACCTTCACAGATCCCTTTGTAGTTTATACTACTTTTACTTTAAATCCTTGGGAAACTTCATCACATATAAAATCATTATCTGTAGGAGTTAAGAATATTTCAAAAGCATTATCGGCTCCTGACATCAAAGCTCGTTTGGGATATGCATCTAAACCCACGTTACTAGGGTATCCATAATATTCATCAAAATTCGAAAAGTGGGATAACTGCCAATTTTTATAATGTACGCTGAAACAATATGATAAGCTGTATTTTTTATTATTTAACTTTTAAAAGCCAGTACTTTGAGAATTAGCAAAGTCAAATAAAAGATACTCAACAGTAGGATGTGGAAAATAGTCTGCACAAATTAAACTTGTCTTCCTTTAATAAGATAGTGAGTCTAAAAAGGCATTCGGCATTAATTTAATTTGTAAACAAAATGGCTTAACCATGATCGACGTGTTTCAAAAATAGGATTCAATTTACGCTGGGGTGCTTAATTAATTTACATCACAAGTTCAGTACACTTTTTACAAGTTTTATTGTTTTTATTTTCGTCAACTAAAGTTTTTAAGTAATTAATCCGTAACGAGATATTGTACGATCACATTAACTGCATAGTAATACAATTTTATGACATAATCAGGATTATTTGGTTGGCAATGCCAAGTCGGCTTTTGGGAGTAGGGTTCTTGCAAAATTGTAAGCCGTGTCGCGTGCCTACAGAAATTCCGTACATTACAAATACGGTTCTGTGTTGCCTCAATCAGACGGTCTTTGGCAGTCGTACCTGTATAATTTATAGTTTTAGAGTTTTGCGGCTTGGATTCTTTGACTAAAATTGTAAAATAATATTAGTATGTATTTAAAGTGATCTTAGTATATGTCTGTAACTATCAATCGCGAAAAAACTATCAAATGTAACAACTGTCCCGCTTAAATCTCACGAAATCCGGTAAGAAATGTAGACTTAACCAATTAAAAAAAAATCTTCATATTCGTTTGCGTTAATACTATTATAAATAAATAATTAATTTTCCGACAAATTTAAAATTAGAACATAGGTAGACTACTTAAAGAAACAAGTAACTTTAAGTAAGGACTTAAAGTTCCATCACTTGAACAGTATCTAGGAAAACTTTATTGGTATTTCAAAGTTAACCATGAAGGTTGGACCCACAATACCATAAAACACAAATTCAATGCAACCCTGGATGTTTCTAGCCCCCTATACACTGGCGGCACGCCCCTTTTATTGGCGTCATTATCCCCCTCCATTGTCCGACAATCCCTCAAAGTAGCGGTTGTAAAATTTTACTAGGTACTGATGTACTGTTAGAACATACATTATTGTACTTACACTTTTTCACGGAACATCTCTTTTCTATCTAATAAATTGTAAGTATAACATAATCCTTGATCAGTCATTATTTCTACAAAGGAACAACTGGCGTCTTGTCCCATGAACAAACAATCCGCTTCGAATTCTGGTTTTAACTTAAAAAATCAAAATTAAATTTCAGTTTCGTTTATACCCGTAACTTGATTTCTAATATAATTCTATACGAAACAGAAATATACCTCATCGATTGTATCAAAAAATTCACTACCAATGAATTTTGCATTAGATGCGAAGATATTGTCTTTTACCATGAATGCGTTGCATAGTATGTACAAAGAATTGGCAATTTGAATCCTATAAAAAATATTATGAATTATATTTGTGATAACGCAAAACTCAAAACCTTTACTCTTTTTCAGAAACAACTTCTTGGTTAGCCATTATGTAAAAAAAATCGCTGTAGTTAAATTTCGTTTCGGACCATTTAGATTCGGGGCAAATAGTTATTGCGGGAAACGGTATTTCGTATATTTCTGTATCCTTTGGAGCAAAAGTGATTACAATAGGACTTTCTTCATATTTTTTCCATATCTGAATTATCAAAAATATACATCCAAGGAAAGATAGTAATAATAGTATAGCCCAAAAAATTCTAATGTAACAATGACAAATGTACACAGTTATGCTTTATTGAAAGTAATAATAATAGCTAAGTATTTGCTTACTTACTTTTCTGCTTTAGTTCTATGGTCTGTCAAATAATGAACTCCGTGGATGTTGGATATTTTTCCATATTCTTTTAAATGTGAAAGAATTTTATAATAAACATTTTGGTTTTTGGCTGGAAAAGCTTTCATTTTTACAGAGTAATAAAAGCGTCTGAACATATCGGTAATAAAGTAACAGTGAGTAGATACGTGGTATGTTGTTGGTTATTGATTTGAAGTTCTTGGTAATGTGCAATTAAATAACAATTTATGTACAGCCTTAGTTCTATTATTCTTAAGGTAAATATATAAAACTGCTCCATAACAGTACGCTATAGTGAAGGCAAGCATTATAGATCGAACGCAGATTATAGCCTGAGACGTGAAGCGTTGAAGATTATATTCGTGAGATGAGTCACCTAATAACTCCCAGAGTCCGGATTTTATGCATAAAATTTTTTTGAAATATGCGCATATATATGCACCTAAAAGGCTTACATCTGCATACATTCTTATAAAATATGTACGGTTTTCAACATTAATTACGGTTTTAAGTGGAAAAAGTATTATTTTCATTAATATTGATATTTAAAAAAAAAGCCTGTCTTTACCAAAATCCAAAGAAATATTTTTTTTACAAACAGGGAGGTTTGTCTGTCGGTATTTTTTGAACAGTCTCACTGTTTATGACACGCTTACATACGAAAAAATCGCAAGCCACCTGCAGTTTGTGGAAAGAATGAATAATTTATCACTTCCATTACGCCATTTGGATAAAATGTATCACAAAAATATTAGCCTTGACCCATCTTAAATTTTCGTTCGATTTTCCTTTCAAGATTTTTGGAGCGCATGTGCGAGTAATGCTCAATCCATCACCGATCAGCTGACGCTGCTTATTTATTAATGTTTCCACTTACACAAACCCAATAACCAGAAAAATGCAACAAACTGAGGCAACAATCTAATAATAAATGCATAACCTCATTGCAAGCAGAATGACAGCATTTTAACAGATTTCTAATTTTTGACAGCCCCATCAAACTTAAAAATCTAATGTAAAGACAAAACGATTTTGAATTCGAGATCTCATTCGATGGCCTCGAATGAAAAAATCGAATCAAAAAGTCGAATACGAAAATCGAATAGTGTAAACCAGCTTTAAGCGGGTAAAACTAAGTTATTAACATGGAACGGAAATGACAGAAAAAAATGCAAGTAGGTACAGTCCACAGAAAATATCCTTGTATTGTTTTATTGTTTCTACGAAAAATATGAAAATATGCACATTTTTAATAGAAATATACGTCCTTAATTCGAAATATGCGAAAAATAGAAAAAAAACTAAATATGCATGCAGTATGGATGTTGCATAGAATCCGGACTCTAAATGAAGTTCGCATTTTCCAATTTTTCAATTAATTTATATTATTTTTTTTAGGAAATATGTTAGACAGTCAATAATAGTATAACATTAATAATATGTAATAAGATTTATTAAAAAAAAGTGTCCTAGAGTTAATGCAATGTTAAAATAGATAATACGTCGATCTACATATACGTATATTTATAACACGACATACAAAATAAACTTAGAGTACACTTAAACACATACCATATGACACTATAAATTATCCAGACTATAAATCACTTGCTCTATTAGATAAGAATTCACGTTCTTTTTTTGAGGCACTCAAATTTGGTCAGTTCTTTTATACAGCATCGTAATTTAGTATACAGTCTACAACCCATAAAGGCAATGATACAAGACCGTGTTATGCTTCTATGACAATTTTATTAAATTGAGAATGGTTCAATTAATATCTATTTGATTGTTAATAGTCCAGCTTCTAATTATTCTATATATTTTCTTAACATGATTTACTTCCAAGGCTAGGTCCTTACTTCTAAATCTTCTAACTAAAATATTCGTATCACCAGCATACGAACTTACAATAATATTTTTGCTTGATAGACAGTGAAATGGGCCATTAATATATACAATAAACAAAATAGAACCTAAAATCGATCCTTGCGGTACTCCACAAATAGTATTTCGGAAATCTAATGCTACATTTTTACTTGCTGTACACGACCCAAGAAATATGTAGCCAACCACCTCAGCGGAGTACCTCTGACACCATACAATCCTAATTTTTTTAACAGTAACGCGTGGTTAACACTGTCGAATGCCTGGGTAAAATCGACAAACATTACGAGAGCTAACTCACCGCCATTAATAGTAGACACAATTTTTTTGTTTTTTTTTAACCATGCTGATGTGGTGACAGTAAAACTGGTGACAATCAAAATAATTTATCAACTTAATATTAACCATCGATTCTATCATTTTAGAAACACTAGTGCATGAACGAATCGCTCGATCATTCTGTACTAACTCGTGTTCGCCCCTTTTACTTTCCGAGCTTAAGCTAACGAAGTACCGTAATCGAATCTTTCGACTGACTCTATACTTTTAGGAGTTACCTTTGAGGTGTCCTATTTCCGTCTGTCTGCCTGTCTGTCTTTCCCACCAACAAATCGTCATCACAAAATTTCGTAAAGGAAAATCTCATCCGAAACATACCCGTAGCACACTTCTTTACATTTACTTTTATTACATACATATCTTTATTTTAACTTCTAGGGGTTCTCATAAAAAAATAACATTTTCAAAATTAAATTTTCTAATTTTTGGAAAAAGTTGGATATGTTTTATTACTCTTCAAGGGCGATGGAAGTTCTGTAGAAATAACCCTCGACCAGTTTTTTAATTTTCAAATAATGTCCAAAATTTCCTTTTCTGTAACATTACAGAAAATTGAATTGTTTGGGCTTATTGGAACATATTAAAATTGTTACGATGATCGGTGAATAAAATCGGTGTGGGTAGAATTCAACAATTTATTTCTTATTAACTCAAATTTACACGACTAAGTGCACAGCGATTATGTTCAAAATAAATCCGGTGCAACTGACAAGGCTCTGTCTTGACTGAACTAGCTGAATAATCATCGTTCCCGGAGGTGGCCTCTATTTAAACCCATACCTCCTTCTAGATGTTCGGTCATCTGGGTCTTTCTGGAATACCGATCGCAATTTCCAATCTTGCATCCATTTTTTCGTTCATTGCTTCCATTCTTGTCGTCATTTTTTCGTACATTGTTTCCATTCTTGCGTCCATTTGTGCAAGCATAACCATAATCTGTTTTAGTTGCTCTTCCATTTTCGCAGCTTCAGCTCTAGTCTCAACAGGCATCAATCTTCTGAATTCTTATCCAATCTACCCGTAATTTGTCGTAAAACGACTTATTAATTTCAAATCCCACTTCTAACACCAGTGTTACGAAGATCGGTGATAGAAAATCGGCGTGGGTAAAATTCAACAATTTACTTCTTAGTAGGTAACTCAAATTTACACGAATAATCACACAGCGATTATGTACACAATAATTCTGACTGGAATGGGTTTGACTAGACTCTACTTCTCCCATTGTCTGGACTACTCTGACTGCTCCCGACGGTTGTTCCCATTTAAATAACCACGCGATCCTTCTCCAAATGCATCCTTCACCGCTTCTAGACTTGTCTGCAGCATCAAACGCGACTTCCGCTTCCAGGCTCTTCTTTAGCGAACGCCGTTCGGCCGCCGTCATCGCCGTACATACTAGAACGCATAGGCATCTTACCGGGGCGACGTATGGGTTTCTTTTGTAACAATATGTTTGTTTGGGTAAAGTACAATTATTGAGCAATTCTTTATCTACAAATTAATTGTTGAATGTATTAACAGATTACTTAATGGACAATATAACACCGTTCTCAGTAATATTGTAGTCATGTGATTGTTAAATTTTCCGATTACATTATTTAAAGCATCAGACGCACTATTGTCTTTATTATTTGACTTTAAGATGATGAAATCATTTTGTTGTTTTTTCTGTTCTATGCGTAAATTAGTAATTAATAAAAACACTCGGTTCACAACAAACTATATGTTAACTATAAATCACAATTGAAGTATTTCAAGCTCAAAATACCTCGGAATGCTTCTCGCGTTGGCGGCCGAGGGAAGAGAGAGTGAGAGCCGAGGGTGATTCTGATGGCAAGGGTGCTCATTCACGAATGTTGTAGAATCAAATAAACACCAAATGTTCAGCTTGCATTGGTGATCAAATTAATTACTTTAATAAGGCCGATCCTTTGAAATATTGAAATATAATCTCAAGAAATTTTAACAGATCTTCACATTAAAGAACACCTTTGAACACTGTCCAACCCTCATCTACAAACTTGTGGCATAGGTAAACCTAACAGTCCTCAGTCTACTTAGGAATGAACGAGTCAATATGTGAATTCTGACAACTGTCCAGGTTAGTTCTAAGCTTTCATTATCTAGTAGGTCGTATTTTCAACTACTCTTTTTTTGTCTGTCACATTGAAAAATCTTTCAAACGTATATTTTAATTGAATATTCTTTCAGCGAAAATGAATCTGGAAAAAACTGAACGGCATTTACCAGATTCGAGGTATGATCCATCAGTGATTCAAAAATAATAATAAAACATTATAGGAGTATATTTGAAGAAATAGAGTTCCATAATAGAACTCCTAACCGACTCAGTGACCAAAGTTCGGCATCAGCAATAATGACTACAGTAGAACCAGATGAGCCAGAATTAATAACTGAAAAGGAAGACAATTTTGAAGATAAAAAATATTTTTGCACGAACTTAAAATTCTACGTTAGAGAACTTACTCAGACAATCGAAGTTCACGGGCTGTGCTACATATTTGAACAAGGTCGAACTTTGTTTGAACGGTACTTACATGTTAATTCCAAAAGTTTTTCGAAGTTCATATTTTGCAAATTTATTTAATATTTTAACATATTTTTTCAAACTACTTGTCGGTGTAAATTTCTAGGCCTTAAAGTAGTGGCTTCACTATAAAATGTACAAAATTTTTCTTTGTGATTCTCCCGTTTCGCTGCTGCTACCACGTACTTCCATCTTAAAAAATCAGACTATATGTGAGATACTCGATTTGATTTTAAAATCTCCTTTCGTAAATGTAGATTTTTGAAGTTTCCACATGTTTTCTAGTATATGGAACATAACACGCTTGATGTATGTTGAGTATGCTAAGACTTTTACGAAGAGTCACTATCCTACAGACCTTAGGGAATTATTATCTAATAGATCTTTAAATCGTAATATCTGTGCTATAAAATAGATTTATTTGAAATTTAGCATGTATACTGCCCACAGTATGTTAAAGCTTCTCTTTCAACACGTTAAAATTATACATTTTTAGCCAGGTAGGTGTAAAACCCATTAGCAAGAGTTTTTCCTATATTCATTTCGGTTACGCGAAAGTGACAGTTTATTATTGTCCCAAGTACTTGTTTTTTGCTTCCTGGAGTCGAATTTTCATACTTTCATAAAAAAGTTACTCCGTAAAATTGACAAAAAAATTTGTGTAAATTTGTTCATGTTATTGTGCATTTTTTGTTGTATATTTTTTCTCTGAAGTACATTTATAATTATCCCAACAGTACTGTACACCAGACTGTACACCTCCAACCATCACTTATGTAAAAGAAAGACTTTAATAAAGCACTTGTAGTTTGTTTTGGATAATCATTCTGCTGACATCTCTGGGAATGTGTGTTCTTCTTGTAATAACAATACAGAACATGTATGAAAATACTCCCATAATTATTAGTTTCTCCACACAAAGCACTCCTGTCTATGAAATTCCTTTTCCTGCTGTTACTATTTGTTCCCAAGTAAAGGCACCTTTACGGGAGCCCAGTTTTGTAGAGATTCGGAGGAATTATGTGAATACTGGAAAATTTTCAAGCAATGAGGAGTAAGAAAAGTTCATTTATTATTTTACATTTAATGAATACTTGTTTGTAGTTTTGAATATTTTCAATACATGCAATTTGTTTGTGACAATGATTTTGTTGGGAAAAATATGTTCGCATTTAAAAACGAATCTTTGCGTCAGCTGGACGATTCCTTTTTCGAGACTATGAAGGCGGTATGTAACTGAAACACAATTTATGCATAACTTATAAAAAATCAATTTTAGTTTAGTCCGAAAATAGATGAAATGATGGATAGCTGTTTTTTCCTTGGAGAATTAAAAAATTGTTCTGATTTGTTTACAGCTGTTTATACTAAAATTGGTGTCTGTTACTCATTTAATATGGTGGACTGGCGGGAAATATTTCGTGAAAAGGCGTATAGGTACTACATACTTCAGGTACTGCGACGATTAATTTAAAATTTTAGACTTAAACATTCAGGTTATTTTGAAAGTAATATTGATGGAGATTCGGATTGGTCTGTTGAAAATTATTATAAAACTAGAAATGCTGCGACTTATCCACTTAGAGGTGTCATGAAAGGGCCTATTAATTCTTTAACGGTTTATCTAAAACAAAACGTGCGTGATATTGATCCTGTCTGCACTACCGGAACGTCAGGATTTAGGGTAAATACCTACTTTATCGATGTCTAATAATCGTCTTCAACAATAGTCAAGTAAGAGCGTAAAATAATTATTTACATGTGGCGGTATTTTAAATATCAATTAAGAGGCAACATCCCACTTCGAATTCATGATAGTAAGATATTATACAGTAAGCTTTCACGACAAAAATGGCAGCAGCCCTGTAAGGTACAGTTAAGATTAAAACTCACTATTTTTTATGGAATGTAAACTGTCTCTAGATATATTATAACTTCTTCTTTAAAAAAATGGACAAATTACATTCTATTTTAGAACGATTCCAAAAGTTTTCAAAAAATTTTTGTAATTCTCATGTTACCGTAAGAAAATATTTCTTTACCACATTTTGTCACCTTATGTGGAATACAAAAGAGTAGGTATTTATTAAAATGAGTTTAACCACAAAAAGTAAGATTTAAAACACATAAAGCAAAACATGTCAGTATCTTGTTTCGATTTGTGGGGAATTTGATAAGTTGTCTCAAAGATTGATGAAATATAGCTTACTGCTAATAATTTTGAGGTTCGTTTGTTAGGAAACATTATAAAAACCATCAGAATTAACAGTTGATACTAGCAATGTAGCAATAATTTCAAAGTTGTAAACTTTGACACCCAACGTAAAAATTGGGCGAAGGTTATTTCGAACTTGAAGAACAGTTCAATAAATCCCGCTTGGTTGAAAATTTATAAAATTATTTTACGAATTTTGTTTTGATAACCTCTTTAAAGTAAATACCAGTGGCGTAAATAACCCCCCACAGTATCTACGCCGCGTGGGCGGACAATGTGAAATATAAAAAAATAAATATTTAAAGCAGACAACGAACAAAAAATTGAAAGCCCGCGAAAATTTCAAAAAAATTCAAGAATTTGGTCTTGGCTGTGATCGTCTAACAAAATGGAACCCTACATTGTGTGTTTTTTTTTGCGGAATGAGTTCAGAAGCAAGTGGTGGACCTGAAGGTTGGAAAAGTACCGCAAAATAAAACACGAAATCTATGGAGGACACAAAATGCTTATTCCTCCACTGACAAAAAAAAGAAAAAAAAGCTGCGACTATGTTGCGCAGGTTGAAGACCTTCTTAGTTCTCAGATACAAAAAAAACCTTGCCTAACTTGAAATGAAATCAAATTAAACGTTTTGAATCAATGCAAATATTTAAAAATCACAAATTTCATAAAAACAAAGAAAAACCTGAATTAAAGTAACTGGATGCAAATACACAAGTTATTACAGACGTGTGGCGGTAAATTTAAAATTATGGCAGCAACAAGAAAACAAAATTTTAATAAAACTCTATGCAGCGAAGCGACAGTGGCACCAGAGCGTCTCCTCGTGAATGCTTATGACTCCCAAAGTTGAGGAGGCATCCGGGTCGCTATACGAGTGTGGCCATCGAACTATATCAGTTTCATTCTAGAGCACAGTAAAATTACCCATAGGTGGCGTTGTAGCATAAGCGGAGTTTGGGGCTCCTGGTTGTGGCTATTCTTCCACCACGATGGTGATTCGACTTTATCGGCAAACACATACCGCCCAGCATCCTTCTATTTAACGAAGAAACCTGCCGCGCTAGCAGGCCGTTACAGTCGCAAACTCGTGGTTGGAAATCCCGACTATTGACCCAAGCCGCTAGCGTCACGTCATCCCGACCGCTCACCTAACCTCTATTCAAGATCCGCGTCTTTTGTGCAGATGGCGCGATAAATCTCGCCAGCTCGACTAGGAACCGCGCCTTCCGCTTCTGCCTCGCGTTTCTGTGTTATTTACATCAATTCCATTTAAATATTCTCTTTCTATAACTCAATAAACAACATTTGAATTCGCCATATAGTCTCGTGAAATTTTAAACACCAAAGAATTCTTATCTGAGATCAAGATTGGCCATCAGACAATTCATATGATGGAAGCATTACTCAACAAAATATTTACGTGGTAGAAATAACTAGCAAAGATTTATAAAATAAAAAAAAAAGATCTGGTATGAAGTAAAACTAGACAACAAAATTACGTGAGGTTAGCATGAAAATTTACGTTCAATTTAAATTATACAACAAAGAAAATTATTGAGGCTAAAATTGTGAGAAAGAAAAATTGCATCAGGTGAAAAATTGCAAAGCTAACAAAATTACATGAGGTTAATATTTTTCACACTTTATCAGCGATTCAAACAAAGAATTTACATGATGTTAAATGATGCAATAATCCAGGTGACTGGTTACTTAAAAACATTTAGCTTTGAGAGTTTATATCGTGGACTGTCATAAAAAGTTAACATCGCAGTTTGTTATGGTCACTAGCTTCACTTTTACGTTGCAATTAGAAAGTAAATTACTAATATATTGTTACGAAATAAACCTATACGCCGTCCGCTACGACACCTATGGGTTTTCTAGTATGTACGGCGATAATGGGTGACTCATCGCCGATGACGGCGGCCGAACGGAGTTCGCTAAAGAAGAGCCTGGAAGCGGAAGTCGCGATGGATACTCCAGACAAGTTTAGAAGCGGTGACGGAGGCATTTCGAGAAGGACCGCCTAGTTGTTTAAATGGGAACCACCGTCGGGAGCAGTCAGAGTAGTCCAGACAATGGGAGAAGTAGAGTCTAGTCAAACCCATTCCAGTCAGAATTATTGTGTACATAATCGCTGTGTGATTAGTTGTATAAATTTGAGTTACTAAGAAATAAATTGTTGAGTTTTACCCACGTCGATTTTCGACCATCGATGTTCGTAATACTGATGTTATAATGGGGACGGTGGAATTTGAAATTAATAAGTCGTTTTACGACGAATTACGGGTAGATTGGACAAGAATTCTGAAGATTGATGCCTGTCGAGACTAGAGCTCAAGCTACGAAAGTGGAAGAGCAACTAAAACAGATTATGGCTATGCTTGCACAAATGGACACAAGAATGGAAACAATGTACGAAAAAATGACGACAACAATGGAAGCAATGAACGAAACAATAGATGCAAGAATGAAAAACATGGACGCAACAATAAAAACAATGTACAAAAAAAAAATGACAAGAATGGAAGCAATGAACGAAAAAATGGATTCAAGAATCAAGGTAATGGACAAGAAGATGGACGCAAAAATGGAAAAAATGGACGAAAAAAATGGGAGCAAGAATGAGAAAAATGGATGCAAAAAGAACCAATACTTTGGGGAATGTGTTCGCTGGTGAAAATACGGCCGCCAGCGAAGTGAAAATAAGAAGTTTCACCAGAGGTAGTGGTTCAACTATACCGGGAAAGATTTATGAAAATCCAGCAGCAATCACCATCGATACAGGTGCTGAGGTATTAATTGTGCGTAAACGACTCGACTATCACGGGGGAAGCATCGGTAGAAATCTGTATTGGTCAGCTGAGAATAAGACATCGGGCTCTCGTGGCTAGCATGGAAGATGACTTCATTTTGGGAATGGATTTGATTAGCCGCCATAGATTGACAATTAATCCAATGAAGGCAGTCCTACGTCTTGGAAATGAAGAGTTCAAGCCGAATCAGCGTTGTATTGAAGCGAAGCCTGCAAGATTGATCGCTTATTAGAACTGCAAACACTGCGACGAGGTTGAGCAGCTCAAAGCACGGTTCAACCGCAGAAAGAAAGCAGTCGTAGAAGATGATGAATGAACTACAGCTCGGTGTAGAAAGGACCAGGAGGAAGACGAGGATATTGGGTCGCTCGTCAGATGGAAAGAAGATGGAATAGAACGACCTGGCTGGTCGGAAATATCAGACGAGTCACCTTCTTTCAAGGCATTATGGGATTAATGGAACTCCTTGCATGTCGAGAACGGATTGCTTAACCGAGCCTGGGAAAGTCCGTTTGGAAGGTATATCACTATGCAGTTGGTGGTTCCGGCCATTAAAACCAAGGAAGTACTTCAAGAAATGCACAACGGAGGTTCTGGTGCTCATTCTGGAATAAACAATACACTCTCTAAAGTTAGGGAAAGTTTTTATTGGGTCCGTTGTCGAGAAGAGGTCGAGAACTGGTGCAAGAAGTGTAGGACCTGTGCGGCTGTTAAAAGACCTAAAATTAAGGCGAAGGGGCCGATGCAACTACAGAACGTCTGTTCGCCTTTTGGAAGAACTGTAGTAGACGGAAAGGAATCAAAATTAAGGAGTTCATGCCATTGCTCCGCAACTATGACCGGTCACATGACTAGGGTTGTAGATATATAACTTTTGGGCCCGCACCTGAAGGGCCGTTTAGTAGACGACTTGTGGACGATTAGTTGATTAGTAACAGAATAGTGTAGTGAATAATTGTAGCTGAAAAACGTACCAACGACCAAATAAATTGGTATACTGCCCGATCTGTTTAGTTACCATCCCCTACGAGCAACAAATTCTACAAAAGGCATCAAATTATTGGCGCCATAAAGTTAAATATTAAACTACTCCGGATCCCAACCACATCCAAGACTATTCAACTTCCCCCAAATCCATTCCCAATCAACATTTTGTCAACTATTTTAATCACTGCCGTAGTATTGGTAATACTAGAGGCCTCAAATACTAAACCTTACCAAACTTTCCCCGAATGAGAGAGGCGACGAAACCTAACAAATTTTTGTTTTATCATTATTAACACAACGACAGTTGCAACCCACAGAGGGGAGCAACCGTATCTACACATTCTGTACTTTTTAGATCGACCAAAGGTATGTACTATACTGTACTATAACAACGTCCACAAACTACATTGAAAAAACGAAAAACTATTAAGAAAAACAAGTATCTCAGACGTTAGTTTTATATTTCACGAAGCATTCACATGAAATCATAGTTAATAGATCAAAAGCACCTTAACAAAAATCGAGGCTGGACGGACATATGAATATTCCCACCCCTTTCTACCTGCCAAACCTCCAGCTCATCAGCGCAATGGTACCGACAGTCCTTAGTTGACACGCAGTAAATTGGAAGGTCGTAACTTCCGTAAATTTATAAAGTTAGACATATCAGCCATTATTATTAGAACCTGAGTACTTCTTCCATTATTACGGACAACCTATATTAGACGCCCAGTCGGAAGATATCACTCCCGGCCCAGCCCTTGAACGGTATAAACCTTTACACCCGCGTCAGGTCGCGCATTTCTCTTGGAACTTAATGATCAGTAGGCGGAAATTTATCTTACGGATGCAATTCCTCAGTTGAAGCAAGGTGTGTTTTACGGCGAGTAGCGGGGACGCTTTGATCTGGTCCACAAGGTCGTAGCCAGTGCGTCGCAAGGAGTGTTTACAGCTTGTTAAAAAACTACTTCTATATTACTATATTACTTAAAAAAATAATACTTGATGCCCTTTTTAATTTTTCAAACAGGACCACAGATTTGTGATCTTGAAATATTATATTATGTTGATATAGTCCAAAATAAAAATATATTTGTAATCAAAGTATCGCCGCGACAGCACTGGATCTAGCGTATGAAACACAATTCCGCCCGTTGTTAATGATACAACAATAGAGAACTGGTGGAGTGGTATCCGGTGAAGGCAAAGTAGCACAAAGAGCGTATCTGGAATAAAATGATTTCTTCGGACTGAACGTCTAATATATACTGATTTCCATAAAAATCCGAACACCTCGAAGGAGTTGAGCCACTTTGTTCATAATATCGGATACGATATGGGGACAGTCGTGGAGGCAATGATTAAAATTTCAATGAAAACCATTAATATTATCTTACCTTTTTACCTTTTGAAAATAACGTTTCGTCTAGCAGAATTATGCTTTGCTAGTTGATTTGCGTTAGTTGTGTAGAAAATTTTAGAGCTATCACGTAGAAAACAAAATGAAAAATGTCAAGACGTCGTGAACCGATTCATTTTCATCAATTGAATGAGTTTGAAAAAGGCCGCATTGTCGGTATGAGAGAAGCCGGTTTTTCAATAAGGCAAAGTGCGGACCGTATAGGCCGTAGTATTTCAACGGTGTTGCAGTATTGGAGGAAGTGGTCTGAGAAAGGAGTGCATGAGCGAATTCGTGGATCTGGTCGTCCTCAAAGAACGTCGGCACGCGAAGATCGTCATCTACGCATTGCTGCCCTACGAAACAGACGTTCTACCACTCGTGCAATTGCAACTGATTGGATGTATAGGATCTCCATGTCATCAGTTTATCGCCGAATAAAGTCGTTTGGGTTGCGTTCATATCGACCATTTCTTTGCCTCCCATTGACACCAAGACATCGTGCTAATAACTTGCAATGGTGCAACGAGCGAGCAATTTGAGACCACGAATGGAATCGGGTAGTGTTTTCAGACGAATCCCGGTTTTGTCTTTGGGCTCACTATGGACATAGGAGGGTGAGGCGATTACGTGGAGAACGCCGAAATTTGAATTTTGCTGATGAACTCCATACAACTCCCACACAAGGCGTGATGGTTTGGGGGGCAACAATGCAGGGTGGCAGGTCCCCTCTAGTTTTCATTCAGGGAAATTTGAATGCAAGAGGATACATCGGTACAGCACTGGAGCCGATTGCATTTCCTTACCCAAGAGGGTTAGATCGACCCCTATTTCAGCAAGACAATGCACGCCCACATAGGGCAAGAGTCACAAGGGAGTGCCTTCAACAACATAATGTTGAAGTTCTCCCCTGGCTTGCACGTTCGCCAGATTTGTCACCAATTAAACATGTGTAGGATATCATGGGCACACGTCTAGGTAACTTGCAGCATCACCCGAATAATTTAAATGCCCTTCGTATGCGGTTTCAGAAAGCTTGGGACAAAATCCCACAGGACACCATAAACCATCTTGTTTCAAGCATGCCTCGCCGAGTAAATGAGTGCATTAGAAATCACGGTGGACCCACACATTATTGAATAAATTTTTTATTTCACAAATTTTAGGCCTATTATTTTAATCATTTATTTGGTTCGATTTAATACACATTTGGTGAAACTTTCAGTTATCAAGTGTTCGGATTTTTATGGAGATCAGTATAATTACTAACTTCACAGGTTAGTTCGTTTGATTTGAAATGAAATGTCAATTTCTTTTAACGCAAATGTCGCCTCTGAACTTGCCTTCTAAACGTGCTAGCAGTCGAATTCTTCCGAAGTATAAACATAAACAGTCGAAGATAAGCATGTACTGCGAAACTGGGAATATATTTTTCCCGTTGGTTATCTGCTTTAAATATATTTTATACTATTCACACTTGTGCGAGCGGCATCCCCTCGTGGCCACTAGTTTCTATTTTTGTCATAAAACAAAAATAACAAAATTAAATTTTATACTCTTTCAAATAAACGGGTACAAAGACTAAGTAATGACATGCATTGATTAGATTATAAAAAAAACTTTCGAGATTTTAGAATTAGAGCATACGAATTCGTCTGCTATTATTCGGTTATAGTTTTGCCATGTAGTTGTTTTTGTTTCAGGCCACTTATGTTTTTTTTGTTAGTTTTTCCTTTTTACAGCTATTTCCCAAATGTCTTACTACTGTATATTAGTGGTACCGGTGTTAGTGGTAATAAACAGTAATAAAGAAAATCGGGAGGTAGCAGTAGAAAGAAAAACCTAACCAAAAAATCTGCAGCACCAAATATGGGGTTCAACATACTTATTATGTTGTATAGTACGTGGGACGTGTTGGATTTCTTTGATAGGTATTAGGTAAACAGATTTAAGGGCGTGTGGGTCAAATCTGTCGTAGCTATGGTGCGAAATACTTAGTTCACTATTTCTTTCTGCTCGGTTCAGGAAATATTTCTCACTTCTTGCTTTTAGTACTCGTGATGACTGAAATCTTCTTTGAATGTCAATTATTCTCCGGTTAGTTAGTCTATAATAATAATAGTTTGTAATGAAACTATACACCATAACTTGGGTATTACCGGATATTTGAAATTTTCATACTCGCCATAATTAATATAAGCCTTAATAAAAAATAAAATTACAGATCAGAATTCATGATCCCTTGCGGTTGCCAAATTTTGAAGATCACAGTACCCAAGTTTCTCTGAATACATCTATGATGATAGCCATCCATCCCCACATGTTAAAAGTTTCGGACGTAGTAAAGTCATTGCCTCTGTCTGCTCGAAGATGTTATTTACAAGGAGAAAGGAGCCTCGAATTTTATAAAAGGTATAATCAGAAGAACTGCTTATCTGAGTGCCTCCACCGTTTCATCCTGTCTTCATGTGGCTGCGTACCTTTTTATGCGCCAAGTAAGTTTGCGCAAACTTTACTCATAAAGATTTTTTTTTATTAAATATAAGTTAATAACAGGTCACACAGTATAGTTACTTATGCCACTCTTAATTAGAAAAAAATACCCAACCGTAATTTTTAGAAAACGATAGTATCCATCATCAAAACGGTATTTCATGGCCTCTACATTTCTACACTTAAATGCGGAAATGGTTTTTATAAGAGGCCGGAATTTTGTTTTCGTATCGATAATAAAATCTTCCGGTTACATGAATAGTTGTAAAATATTTCTACATTTCAACTTTACGGAGAAGTATAACAAACGTGTCTTCGACTTATACGATTACCACTTTTAAGTAAGTGTCGTGACAGTACTGTAATACTGTCGAAGAAAACAACCAAAATGAACAATTTAAGTCTATCTATAACGAAAGGAAATACTCTGACACTGTTATAAAAATATTGAATCCATAGTCTGATTTGAATAAGGCAATATTTTAACAAACATACGCCAGGTTCTCTGACCCGCCTTTAGGTATTCAGATATTCTACACTTGAACCTACTGCTGACAGACATCCAGACTTGTTTGGATGTTTGAATTTTGTGGCATCGGCATTCCTGGTAGTACAAGAATTTTTTAATGACACTGCAAGAAATTAGAATTTTGAACATGACAGATGGTACACAAAAGTCAAGAACACGAACTACAAGTTTTTGCAAGTTCTGTACTCACTAACCTAAAATTAAACTTTATCATGAACTTTTAAAACATTGTGAGAACGACTTCACAGTTAGTACAAAAGATATTTGACTAGAATGAAACTCAAAACAGAACAACAATTCAAGAATTGATCAAAAAGTCGTATCTACAGTCGATACCCACAGAATAATTTGACAGTAGTTAGCGGTATGTCATATAAGTTGAGGGAAAATGTAAAAACTTCCAGAAGTTTATCAACACATATTTATGATTAAATGTTATATGTGTATACAAACCAGCCAGATTTTGTTTACAATAACTTAATAATAATCAGAAACAAAGTCTTCTGACTGCGTGGTATTGGTCACTGAAATCATGTTTTATTTTTTTGATGCCAACTGAAATTTTGCTTTGTTAATACTGTAACTAAATTCTAACATTTACTAAAATTAGCGTACGGTAGAAAAAAATTCCAGTTATGATTACGTTCTACATACTCAGGCCTTTTGGACTTACAAAAATGATTGATCTCAAAAATTTATGAAAGTTTCAAAAAATTGAGTGTATATCTTGTATAGATATAATAAACAAGCTTTTAAAGAACAAATTTTCACAAATTAGCTACATTTTCAACGCAGGTATTGATTTATAGTAGTAGTTTTAAATTGCTAGGGCTCGATTTCATAATAATAAAAGTTTCTCTGCTTTTGTTTTTTTAACTAGTGTATAGCACGTACAGTAATAATGTTACTAATTCTAGGAGAACAGACGACACCATTATGTGGAGCCGCTAAACTTCATTGTGTCTTAAAAGCAAAAAGTAAGTATTTATCTATTGCAGCCCATTATAAGTTTCCACAACCTTTCTTATTTTTAAAAGGAACATTTGAACTTGATCTTTTAAACGAATATACAAGCAGAGAGGAAGACCATAACCAGACATGCAACTGCAAAAAATTTTGCGCAGAATTTGACTATAACGTTGAAATTTCAGTCAGCGAATCGGATTTTCAACAAAATTCAGACCATAATCTTACGTAGGAGGAAATGTTTTTATTAATTATTTTAAACACTAGATACTTACTAATCTTTTAGCTACGAAATGAGCCACCTTACTATATTTTTTAAAAGTAAGAACTTCGTGGCGTTGCAAAAAGTCGAATTTTATGGACTGACTGATTTATTGGCTCATATTGGAGGTCTTTTAAATTTTTTTATAGGATCTTCTGTCTTAACTTTCCTGGAAATCGTTTATGCTTTTACTTTAAAAATTTTATGCAATAAAATTATATATGGACCATGGGCTGGGCCAGCAGCTGTGCAATATAATTACGTATTAAAATAATAAACATAAAAAATAGTGTTTTTATTTGGATTATAAGTATAAATACACTGACCGGCAAAATAAACCGGCCACCCTGAAAAATTTCGCAAAACCACTTTAAAAATTATTAATTTAACTAGTGATCGTTATTTTATTAAAGAATCATTCACTATTGACACATAATGTACAAATTAGCAAAAAAAATGAAGCCAATTAAACGCAGAATTAAATATTAACAACATAACAGAAATAAACCAAGATCCCAGGATTCCTTAGCTTACGTTCGGGAATTAAAAGTATTTCCGCGTGGTGGTCAAAGGTTTTCATGGTAATTGCATGAGTACCTAATTTACCTTCTTCACAGTTCGTTTTTTCAAGGCAAAAGGTATAAACTGGAGCATTGTTTCAAAATCAACAAACTACATAAGTTCATTTGTAACTAATATGGATCACAAATGCTAAGTGGTATTATCACCACAGAAACCGTTGAAGCAGCGACTGAACAGTTTGACAAGTTATGTGTACTGTTAAAATTTGACAAGAAAATGGAGAAAACGTCAGAGAATGAAAATGCTAGTGAGGATGATAATGGAGATAGCTATGTTGATGGTGATGAAAACGATAATGATGATAATGATGATGACGAAGAAGAACTAAGAAGTTGTCTTCACTATGCGGGAAAATACTTCACCCAGTACGCTATGAAAGCTGTTCTTCATGGAGTCAGATACATTAGTCGAAGAACCATGTTTGAAAGGTAATAATGATATATACAACAACACAGTAATACAAATATGAAACATACTTTAGGTTTTTGTGGGGAATTCTGACTCTAGCATTTGTACTAATATGTTTGACACAGATCTTTAAATTATACAGCAGACTAAATCGATATCCAGTGGTTATTACTTTTGGAAGTGAAACAATTCATATTTATGAGATTCCATTCCCGGCGGTAACGATATGTCCCCGAACAAAAATAAGAAAAGAAGCCTTCAATTATGAAGAGGTGCATAAGAAAATTGAAGAAAACCAAAATTTGACAGAACAGGAGTACGTAGTTATTAAAATTGTTATTATTCACAATGCAAATATTTTTAGGGCCACAATTTATGAATATGTACATGCTATATGTAAATGTCATGTCCGTCATGATGTAAACCATACTTACAACAAAATCCACTTTTCTGACGATTTTTTTGACACTATAGATCATGTTAATCCCTTTAGAAATAAGTATTTTGTTTTATTATTAAAGTTTTGTAGCTCACCATTGACCCTTCAGATCTATTTGTACGTTGTGTCTGGATAAGAACTTCTATGAACTGTTCAGAAATCTTTACTCGTGTGTTTACCGATGAAGGAATTTGCTACTCATTCAACGTATTAGACAAAACGCATATTTTCCGTGACTACATGTAATTTAAACCATGCGATCAACAAAAATCACCTTCTAGATGACGCTAAGGGAATGAAAACAACAAGTGATCGTCCAACGTCAACTAGAGTGTGATTTGTGTTGATCGTGCTTTACCTTCAACTATTTATTTACCAGCAACTTGCCCAAAGATTCTTTTATTGGTCATAATAAAGACTACGATTGGAACATAGAAACAGGATACACAAAAGATATGAACTATAAAACATATCCCCGACGAGTTCTAAACTCAGGACACGAAGAAGGTTTAGAACTAACACTTGGGCTATTTTCTGAAGATTTTGATTTTGCCTGTGGATCGTTCCTACAAGGATTTAAAGTGCGTATTGTTTGCTGTGAAAATATTATGAAGTAAACATGTTCATTTAAGGTAATCGTTCACAGTCCAAACGAAGTTCCACAAGGGAATGACAATTTCTTTCGCATATCTCCAGGTCATGGTTTGGATGGGGCTATTAGACCAAGGTTCATCTTGACGTCATCTAGTATTGGTCAATATCAGCCTCAAGCGAGAAACTGTTACATGGGAACAGAAAAGCCATTAAAATATTTTAAACAGTATACTCAGTCGAACTGCAAACTAGAATGTGCTAGCAACTACACGCTCTTGAGATGTGAATGTGTAGCACACTATATGCCTAGTAAGTTAAGTAAATTAAACATCTAATAGTTACTTGAGGGCTACAGGTGCATATTGACGGATCATGTTAATAAATGTAGAAATAGGGGGCTAAAGTCTCCATTAGTAAAAATCGCTGCCAGCACTTAATACCCATGGTATTTATAAATTTTTTGCACGATAGAAATATGTAATATCAAATTAAACACAGAGTAAGAGCGAGTTGTCCTATGAGGCAGATGCACTTTATTATTATATTTTTACTATTTCTGACCGATACTTTTCTGCGAATAATTTTTTTCACTTTAAAAATAAATGTGAAAAATTATTGTTAATCTTATCTTGCTAGAAATTCACTCTTTCCATAATTAAAACAACGCGATTCAACACACCACACAGAGACAGACCCGAATCTTGCCTCTATAGTATGTTATGAACAAATGCAAAATTGATGCCTTTTATTATCTAGGCTGTCCGCATTAACATAACATAACATATATTTTCGCCATCAATTCTGTTACACGGCAACGTCACATATTACACAAAATGTACACTCACCGGCAAAAAAATCGAATCATTAGTATTTTTGTAGAAATATTCAATACATTCTGTTGTGCGTCACATTTATGAGACAAATTAGTTTATCTAGAACAAAGGACATGAGAAGGTAACGACACCTTCGCTGAAGTTGCAACAATTACGAGTTTATTCAACAATACCAGCAAATCCATTACATTAAACCAACAAAAGATTACTTAACATAACATTAATAACGAGTGTTGCCGCCTCTAGCTTGCACTACGGTTGCCATACGTCTTCCCATGCCTTCTATCAGGTGTCTAATCTCAGCCTGGGGTAATTGGTCCCATTCTTCAACTAGCGCATTTGCAAAATCTCTTATGTGTTGTAGGGCCGGCACACGTGCTCTGATACGTCTACCTAACATGTCCCACACATGCTCAATTGGATTCAGGTCGGGACTGCGTGCTGGCCATTCCATACGTGAAATCCCGACTTCGTCGAGGTAGGTTTGTACAACTCTAGCGATATGTGGTCTAGCATTATCATGCATTAGAATAAAATTATCGCCAATAAAAGGATCAAAAGGTACGACATGCTCTTGAAGAATATTTGTCACATATCGATCAGCATTCATTGTACCTCTATCCACCACTACAAGTTCCGTGCGAGCCTCGGCAGAAATTCCTGCCCAGACCATCACTGAACCTCCATGAAAACTTAGTCTGGGAACAATATTGCACTGAGCGTACCTTTCGCCTCTTCTTCGCCATACTCTTTGACGGCCGTCAGGAGAACGTAGACAAAACCGCGACTCATCTGTAAAGAGTACTTGGCCCCATTGGGCAAGATCCCAGTTAAGGTGTTCTCGAGCAAATGCAAGTCGGGCTACTCTGTGTCGTGGGAGAAGTTCTGAGCCACTTGCTGGTCTACGGGCCCTCAATTCAGCTGCAGTTAACCTTCTTCTTACAGTTCTTTCACTTACACTAACTCCTCGTGTTTCTTCAAGTTGATTTCTGGCCTCAACTGCGGTCGTATCCCTATTACGGAGCACCGTCAGCGTTAAAAAACGGTCATCCCGAGCCGATGTTTTCTTTGGGCGACCAGAACCAGGTCGCCGGCTGTATGATGCTGTGTCATTAAACCGTCGTACAATTCTGTGAATGCTCGCTTGTGATACCCCTAACGTATTGGCAACGTACCGTTGACTTCGACCATCCTGAATAAGAGCAATTGCTCGTGCTGCATTAATGGCCGCAATACTCATGTTAATTGACAACAACACATTTTTCATCAAATCATAATGACAAACCGTCTGTTAATGCTCTCTAAACGTCAGAACTGCAAATCTCATTGTTGGAAAAAACTTATCATGTTCAGATTTGAGGTTCATATCATGTACAAAAAAGAACCAAAAACCTAGTGTTAGTGTATTTTGTGTGATTTTTTCAAAACTGATATGGACTGTAGCCAAACATTTAAAAAAGGAACCATTTTCAATACAAACTTTGGGTTATTCGTTTTTTTTGCCGGTGAGTGTATGTATTACAAATCACACACAAATTAAAATATAATTAAAAATAAACTAAAATCTCTATTGAATTTCACTACACAGGAAGTCTTCTACAGTATAGGGTACGATGGTCAATAAAAATGTCTTCAGTTTACTCTCCAATTCCTTTAAAGTTGTTTTCTTCCAGCAATCGGGGATTTTGTTGTAGAGTTTTGCTCCCCAGTAATGTACATTTTGTTGAGTAACTGTAAGGCGGTGACAGGGTACTCTCAGCAGACTGGCATTTCGGGTGTTTTTGTTGTGAAAGACATCATTTTTCTTAAGCTGGCCTACGTGAGTATGCACATACTTAATGTTATGGAGTACATACGTAGCAGGGACGGTGAGTATTTGTTCCTTTTTAAAGTGATACTTGCAACTTTCTCTTTGTCTAAGATTGTTCATGATTCTAATAGCTTTTTTTTGTAGGAGGAAGACCCGTTTCATAGCCTCAGTATTTGCTCCCCATAATAATATACCATATTATTGCATGGAAATTGGCGTAGTATACCATTTTGACCGCTTGGTGAGTTGCTATTGTCTTTATTCTTCGTATGCTATATAAAGCTGTTACGAGTTTGTTTGCCATTTCACTTATATGTGTATTCCATCTCAAATTGTCTTGGATTTGTAGTCCTAGAAATTTGATGGATGAGTTGAATGTAGTGGTTGAAAACGTAAGAGATTGTGTTTTGTTTTCGTTTAACTTCAGTCTGTTGTTATTGAACCAATTTCCTGCTTCTTTTATGACAATGTTTTTCTTTAATAGTCTTTTTTCTTTGCTCGTTGCTTTAATAATGAATGGGGTATCGTCTGCGTAGAGGCATGCTGAGTCACAGTTTACGTTTTTTAATAAATCGTTTACATACACAATAAACATGGTTGGCCCAACCACAGACCCTTGTGGCACGCCACACGTTACAGGAACCTTTTGAGAACTTTTATCTCCCCATCGTACTATTTGTCGACGTCCTTGGAGGTATGATTCTAAAAGTTGTAGAGCATTTCCTCTCACTCCATACCAATGTAATTTCTGTAGAAGTATACTATGCGGTACTGTATCAAATGCCTTGCTCAAATCACACGATACTAGTTCCACCGTTTCTTTGTTATCTAAGGCTGATATTACTGCGTTCATTATATTTAGTACTGCAGTACTTGTGGACCGTTCCTTCCTGTATCCATTTTGTTCATCACAGAAGATAGCATTTTTTTCGAAATATTTCATTAGTCTTTTATTGATAGCTACTTCAAATACTTTAGACATAGTGGGAAGAATAGATATTGGTCGGTAATTATCGTAAGACGTGTTATCGTTGTTCTTTTTTGGAATAGGGATAATTTTTGCAGTCTTTATTTCATTAGGAAAGTACCCTTCAGCAAAACACTGATTGATAAGCATAGTTAACGGTGGAACTATCTCGTTCACTAGCGTTTTTATTAGATATGTCGAAATATCCTAGATGTCTCTTGTTGTTTTTGACTTTAATGACATGATGATTTTCCTTATTTCTTCTTCACTTCACCCTAATTACAGGGTTCAGAAACATGAAATGAGTACTATTAACTTTTTGTTTTTTAAGTAAATCTAGGGGATGCTGCTCCATTTTTTTCATGTTTTTTTTCATGTTTTTAATGGTTGTTTCAGCCACTGTCGCATAGTATGTATTAAAACCTTCGGCATTTAAGTTTGAATGTTCCTTGGTTCTCGCTTTGTTATCACCTTTGATGATTTCCCATATTTTTCTTGTTTTATTTGATGCACTATTGATTAACGTATTTTCTTCTCTGATCTTTTCATGAATTTTTCTTAAATAAATTTGTTTGTGGCTGTTGTAGGCTTCCCAGTATTCTTTACCCCTTTGGGAAGTAAAGATTACATGTAATGTTTCCAGGTTTTTTTCATATCCATTAATTCTTGCGAATGCCAACATTTATTAAATTTGTTACTTTGTGATTGAATAGTTTTATCTTTTATCTATCTTCATTGTACCCATCAGGGCTATACTCTGAAAAAAATTGAAGCTATCTTCATTTTCCGCACTTGCAACAGTGAAAGACAATATTATTTCATGTAAATTAAGCAAAAACAAGAAAAAAAAATATGGTCCACCGTGTACATGTTTTTGTTAGTCGATTTTTGCAGAAATTTTAGTTCCCTAGCGTAAACTAAGGAAATATTGTAATCAAGTCCATCGAACGACTTTCATATTTTCTTGGTGGGTCATAAGCCCGAGAGTATGATGAAAGGGGTCTCCCGTTTCCGTCTGTCTGTCTGTCTGTCTGTCCGTCGTCCGTGACAATTTTTGTTAGACAGATAAACTTGCGAAACTTCTTGACCGATTGTTGCCAAATTTTATATGTGTATGATTATGAATATCATGTAGATGGTAAAACGCTAACCATACTTTGTCTAATCATCCCCACCAATAATGTGATGGAGTCACCTTAAAATTGTACATAGTAAATGGGTCTTAAATTCTATGAAATAACATAGCCCCACCCCTGTAGTTTATGAAATCGTGTTTTTTTCAGATTTTAGTAAAAAAATTAAAAATTCTATATCATTTTGCAATTTGAATCTGCAAAGAATGCTTGGAAATCTTACATACGTTTTACAGCTATAGGATGGTACATTTTTAATCAAAATGTAATTCTTTATCCACTCTAAAAAATTGATGACGTCATCTCAAAATTTTGCCGAATAAATCCCATCGAAAATTATTTGCATTCATATGTTTTGAATTCGTTATACCTACGTTATACCTACAGGGTGACTCAAAAAAACTAACGAATGGGTCAATTTATTTTATTGATTAAATTATATAATAGCAACGATTCACTCCATTTCCCGAAAATTTGGAAATGTAGTACTGCTATTACAGTGCTCCTCTCCAAACTGATATACGTGTCCTTGTTAAAATATCGATACCGTCATCAAAAAATTTTGTAAAAAAAAAACTCATTTGAAACATACGCTTAGCGCGTTTCTTTACACTTACTTTAACATTGCATATATCTATACATATCTTCACATTAACTTATTGAGGTTCTCACAAAAAAATAAAATTCGCGAAACAAATTTGATAATTTTTCGAAAAAGCTGGATGTTTTATGTTCAGGAAAGAAGGAAGTTCTGTCGAAATAACGTCAGACCAATTTTTTAAATTAAACTTAATTGTACCTATCTAAAGCCGGAATTCCACTGAGGCAACACTGAACGACATGTGCGTCAATGCCGCATGCTACATGTTGCTTCAGTGAAATTCCGCCTTAAGAAATACTGGCATTAAAGATCCATCTATCGTGCAAAAAACTGCTCCTTTTTAAATACAAGTGAAAGTCCTTGATAAAACATTATAGTTAGTTATTTATTGCAAACTTTCACTTTATAGATGTTTTTATAGGAACGAAAGACATACCAATCTGTGGAACTGCAAATCTGTATTGTGCAGAACTGGCACAAGGTACGTATTTGGAAATAATTCAATTTAAGAAACTAATTTTCATTCCGCAAAGAACATTAAAATTAGAAAAGTACAGTGACTGATATAGCAAAAAGTTATTTCCGTAATTTTCCAACAATCTTGGAAAAACACGTGACAAAATTATATTTATTATTATATTTAATAATAATTATGTTTTATTTCATCCTGTGTCAAATTTGACGTTTTAGTGGATTCCAACGAGCCCGGTAAGATCAAAATAACGGACAAGTCCGGTAAAATTGAGCCAAAAAGGACAAGTCCTGTAAAGTGTTACTCTGGTTTAAACATTTGATGCTGATTTGTACGAATAAGCAAACTAAAACATTTGCCAAACAGCGGTTGCTAACGATGTGACGATGTCATAAAAAGTGACTTAATTTGAACTTTTTCTCAAAATAGTAATTATTTTATCGAATAAAAAAATATGTTCACATTATGAAATAAAATCCATAAGGACATACGTCCGGTTTCCGGTAACTCTTTTCGCAGTACTCATTTCGAAATTCAAGACTCGACTCACTACGATCGCCTCGTTCTGAAACATCTTACTCATACTGTAAAATTTGAGTTACCGGACTTATGACGTTAATTACTATTATATACATATGTAAATTAGCAATATTTAATAATAGATGTGTTTCGCTATAGATGAACTGGACTTTCTTGAAATTGAAAACAACTTGAAAACTAATACATCGGATTTAGGTTTTTGTGGATGTTTACCTTCATGTACAGAGCTGAGTTATATTATGGAAATTTCTAGAATCCCCGCTTACTTGAAGGAAAGTTTAAGTAACAATGAAAACTCCACGTATGTATAAGTATAATATTAACTAAAGCACAAACAGGAATTTATTTTAGGATTAAACATCTTACTCAATTAAATATTTATTTTAAAGTTGGGTACTTCAGCCAATTTATAAGATTCCAAGCACTTTCAACATTGACTTTAATTGCCAAAGTAGGAGGACTACTAGGGTTATACACCGGAGCTTCCATAATTACAGTAGTAGAATTTTTGTATTATTGGACAGGAAGACCGATTTGCAACAAATTTCTGTTTAATCGGTGGTCAGGACGCAAACCTCTTAAATTAACCAAATAAAAATTTTGTTTCAAATGGCAAATATTGCTGTAAACTATTGCAGCAGTTTTGTGCCACCAAAATACTAAATTTTTCACATTAATTATTGCTATATACCCATTTAACGGAAGACACGAGACCCAACTAACAACACAATCATTCTTACAGATACCCTTAAATTGTAGAGCCATTTATAATTTGTATATTTTTAATCAGATATTTACCTAAAAAAATAATAAAATTCGAGTCCGTTGGACGTCTGGCTACCTTTATAATTTTCTAGACGGTTCATGATCCTCCTAGAGTACGAAAAATAAGGTCTCCCGTTTCCGTCTGTCTGTCTGTCCGTCTATCGCATGTCCGGATTTTATTAGACATATAATCGCAGAAACTAACTACACGCCTATTGTTGCCAAATTTTATAACTATGTGTGGAAGATAAAACGCCAATCAAAATTTGGCTGATCATCCCTATCAACCATAGGATGACGTCATCTCGAGAATTTACATTAGTCAATACTATTTAAATCTTATAAAATAAGATACTCTTGCACACGTCCTTTAGGAATCCGTGTTAATTTTTTACCCTAGATATCCCGATTTTTCTAAAAAAAAATTAAATCTGAAATATTGCGAACGTTTTAAGATTGTCGTAAGCGTTTTTTTTTTAATTTTGCTGAACAAATATTATTTAAATGTTATAGAAATACATACTCCTGCATGTGATTTATGAATCCATGTCCAGTTTTTATCCTAAACACCCAGCTTTTTGGGGAAAAAAATCAGAATTGTCTAACAACATTTTATAACTGAACTTTGAAATTACAAAGCCGAATTCTCTAAAAACTTGCAAGCGTTTTGCAGTTATCGTAAAACGCTTGTTAAATCGTTAATTTTTTTTTTCGTTTCTGCCCCCATAGAAAATAATGACGTTATAATTCCTGCATTCAGTTTTTTGGGGAAATAATCAAAGTTTTATAACAATATTTTACAATTTAATTTTGATATTTTAAAAGCAAATGCTGTGAAATCTTACAAATATTCTAAGGTTATTGGAAGCATCCTAAATGGTTAATCAAATTTGTCCAACATCTTACAATTTTGCCGAAAATGTTCATCAAGTTTTGGGGGCAAAAACTGAGTGTGGTTAAGTAATTAATCAGTCCTCACCTCTACGTTGAGGAGACAAAATCAATCAAATTTCATTTTATTTAAACGATAATGCTTGTAATCTGAACGTGCCAACCGTCGAATTCTTTCGAAGTATAATTCAGTCGAAGTTAAGCATGTATTGACAAATTGAGAATACCCACATTTTTCCCGATGATGTATGATATATTTCAGATTGCCCACACTTGTGCGGACCTCTGCGGGGGTATTAATTATGCCACTGGTTTTTACTTTATAGTGGTTATCACGAAACAAAAATGACAAAATCAAATTCTATATTTTTTTAAAAAAGCGAGATTTTTCGGACTATACTTCAAGGGTGAGGGAAGTTCTGCCGAAATAATCTTTAACCAGTTTTTTAAGGTTATAAGTCTCGATGAATCTGAAATGAAAGAAATTCTTGTTAGCAAATAGGTTATCAGTCAGTCTCAAATTGAAGAGAAAGAAAATACTTTACGGTCAGCGATAAGAGCTAAGATGAGTTGTGGTCTTAATAGAAATTGTAATTACCAAAAAGCTCTTAAAATTAGAACGCTGCTTAATAGATTCCAGCTACGGTTGTAAAGAATAATTAATAGATAAAAAAAATGTGAATATGCCCATATTTCTCAAAAAAATTTAATATCAATTTTAAAAATGTTAAAAATATGTCCTTGTCCTGAAAATCATCATAAGTACTAAAATCCTGTATTTTACTTCATAGAATTAAAAAAATGTCGCTCATTTTTTATACTAACTTAGTAACTTATTACGTCAGTGTTAAAAAAACCCCTTTTAAAACTTTTAGTAAGTAACAAAATTTCAGCAGTTGAAAGTTCCACCGTATTTGCAATTTAAATTGCTCATTTAGTTGAATTCCAAGAATACCTAGCGGTCCACACAAAAAAGTTACTTGAGATCGATTATTTAAAGCATATGAGGTGGTTGGACGACAAGTTTCCCTATCCACTCATGTTTAATTAAAGCGATTGCAGCAGTTGTTTTTTGAATTAAATTTCGCCATTTGACTTGGTAGTCGTGACGCGAACTATTTACTTCCACGTATTCAACATTATTTCTAAACATGATAGTTGGTGATGTTAACATTGAAACTAATAGATTGAAAAAAAAAGATTCCACGAAGAAGAACAACTTCACCACACAACTTAAAGATTATTTTACAGAATACAGTGAAAATTCAGGAATTCATGGAATAAAATATCTGGGGGAACAAAACAGAACGATATCTGAAAAGTAAGTAAAAATAATTAAAACTGCCCGAATATTGATTTTACTCGCAATTACTACAATTAGGATTTGGTGGTTCACTGCATTATTGGCTGCTTTATACTTATGCGTGACTTTAATAATACGCACGTATCAAAAATGGGAGAGTTCCCCAGTTATTGTATCATTTGCAACTAAGGAAACCCCCATTTGGCAAATTCCATTCCCAGCGGTAACTATTTGTCCAGAGACTAAATCTTTGCCGACAGCTTTCAACTACACCGACATGTTATACAAAAAGTTACAGAACCGTCCAGTCACAGAAGACGAGTAAAATTTAAAACAAAATCACAAATGTAAAACAGTTAATGTTATCTTTTTAGAGAACTAAAATTTTCCTACATAGCGTCTCTATGCACTTACCACCCAGAACTAACATACAATCTAAATGATTTTGTTGACGCTGAAAACATGTTCGAATTTTTAGAAAAAGTCTCGCCCAAATTTTTAGAAAATATTTCTGATTGCTTTTACATGGGCCATGCTTATAACTGTTCTGATATATTTACACCTATTGTAACAGATGAAGGCCTATGTTACGCTTTCAACCTATTAAACCGTGAAAATATTTTGTCAGACACTGTGTAAGTTTACAGTTTCAATTTTTTAAGGGATTTAATGTTTTGAATTAATTCCAGTTTACATTATAACAACTATCACTCTCTAACAAAATACAGAGCGGAATGGTCTTTAGAACATGGTTACAAGAACTCAGCTGGCAAAAACACTTACCCTAGAAGAGCTCTTCATGCCGGGGCATTATTTGACTTCGAATTGAAAATACAAACACTAGATAACGAACTGGATTTTACTTGTGGAAGTTCCATACAAGGATATAAAGTAGTTAATTATTATTGTATTTTACTACGAATTTGTGTTTGATACAACTCTAAATTATAACCAATCATTAGAAAAAAATCACTAGCAACACATATAAATACACAAAATATTGCTCGGAACAAGGCTTTCAAACATCGTAGTTGTGATTATATTTGTTTGTATTTTAGATACAAATCCATCATCCTGCGATGTTGCCAAGGGTTAAACAACAACATTTTCGAATACCATTAGATCAAGCTGTAATAGCAGCCACAATGCCTACAATGATTCAAACATCAGAAGCAGTAAAATCTTATAAACCGGAAAGAAGACAGTGTTACTTCCCTTCTGAAAGAAATTTGAAGTATTTTAAAATATACACTCAACAAAATTGTCAAATCGAATGTAAAACCAACTATACCTTGAAAGTGTGTGGATGTGTGGACTTTTACATGCCACGTAAACATCTGAAACAAAATATGTACCTAACAACTATTACTAGGTTTGATATCTACACATTTTAGGAGAGAAAGGAACAAAAATTTGTGGAGCACCTTTAAAAGTCTGCATGCAGGAAGCAGAAGGTAATTAAAGAAAGCTATGATATTTACTTAATTTTATTAAACTTTTAATCAGACCAGCTACTCTCAGAAGGAATAGAAACAAATATACGTCATGTACAAGGTCTGCAAGTGAAAAATGACATATTGCATCAAACCATTAACAAATGTGACTGTATGCCAGAATGTACTTCAATGACTTACATCGTTGAAAATTCACAATCAGAATGGGACTGGGTTAGAAAATATCAATTTGACCCTGAATATTCACAGTTTAATAAGTCGAAGTAAAATTAACACATGCTTTTTCAGCATATATTTAAAAATTGTTATTTTGTAGAATGCATATGTCCTATCTGCAAGTTTTCTTCAAAGGTAATCAGTTTATCACATCTGAACGAAATGAACTTTATGGCCCAACAGATTTCTTGGCAAACTTTGGAGGTCTTCTTGGATTATTCACAGGGTTTTCGTTATTGTCGTCGGTGGAAATTCTGTATTACCTAAGTCTGCGATTGATATGTAACATAAAACTATATGGCATTAGATATTGGTCCGGTAAACACGAATAACTTGTAAATTGTTTATCTTATAATGTTTTTTCTGTTAATTCTTTAGTAAAATGTTACTGACTACTAAATTAATACTTACCTATGTACCAATTAAATAAAAAATATCCATAACAAAATGCAATCAAAAATTAATAAAATTCTTGTATTAATCTGTAAAATTTAGTGTTAGGCAAAACAAACACAATATGTATACTTAATTGGACATATCTGTATAGCACCGAATCGTGTGACTTAAACATTTTATATTAGAGGTGGATTTGATATGTGTCCAATAAAGCAAGTATTGACTTCGCTAGTTTAATCTATTTTCCCTGTTTAGAACAAGTAAGTTAAGCTCAACAAAAAATAAACTCTGTAATAGACGATTTGTGTAAAAATCTTATTTCGAAAAATTATTTTTAACTAAAAAAAATGTTTTCTAAATGCAGTAAAACAAAATTCGTTCGCAACGACATCAAAAAATGTTTCGGCAAAAGTAGCCTAATTTCTTGTCTAATTTCCAATCGTTCTTTTTTTAAACTTGGACAAGTAACACCACGAACACAAAATTTTGGTAAAGCGTAAAACAGTGTCATTATTTTGTTTGTAACAATCACAGAATGCCAATAAAATGTTATTTATTCAATTCCTCTAGAAAATTGCGTCATTTTTAAAGAACAAAATAATTAAAAACTGTTTTCTAAAACATGCCCCAAAATGTGTTATTGCTTGTTCTTGTCTCAACAAAATGAATGAAAGTTAGAATTAATGTTTCACTGGGTATAGATGGTTGCCTCAGAAAAGTTTTCCTCTCTCTACCTTCCTTATATTGTTCTAATGTAATGTTGTGATTAACATTACGTTATACAGCGAAAAACAGGTGTTAATCTTTAAAAACCCTGACACAAAAACAACGAACCCTTAAAACCTGAAATTGGTTAAGATTCGCTGCGACGGTCGACGCGCTATTGCCACTTCAGCACGAACCAAGCTAATTCGTACACCAACTATATATATGTTATAAGCTAATGATGTTGAAACGACTGAAGTGATTGCCATCAAACATATGTAAGAACAATTCTAATTAAACCGACTTAAAAAAACTCGTTGAAATTGGTCCATCCATTTGGGATGCCACAAACAGAAAAAGACTTCAAAGTTATTATAACAGCCTTCCAAAGTCGATCTTTTCTTTTCAATGAATTAATAATTGTAATGTTATACCATAATGGATATTTATTGGTTCGTTTTTGTTTCATCGGCACATGTTTATTAAAAATTGAGGTAAGATGATCATTTAAAAAACCAAACTCTAATTGACGAATCTCGTCATATAAGAGAAATAAATTCGTTTTTCTGAAATTATAGATCAAATTTGGCTTGACTCCCAAAGGAACGGTTTTCAGCTTCGAAGTTGACAGAGTATAAAGCCGGATTTATATAGTTATTCCGCATACGCAAACAGGCCCGGATGACGCAACGGCAAAAAAAAATGTTCAACATGCATTAGCAACTCCACATCCGGAAGCAGGCCCGTAACCGACCATAATCGAATCGTGCATTATCCGAACAAGAATCCTTGATTTCCTGAAATTTTGTATTTAAACAGTCTAATAATTCCTTTTTAAACTCTTGTAATTGAGAATTAAGAGCTACCGATTGATTATCCATCAACTTTCAATATAAAATTTATTATGCAACGATTGAACATCGGTATTTAAAGACACAGCGATGTCACTAATATTTTGTAAACAAGTTTTATCATACATGTTACACACAAGTTTGCACGAATCACATAAATACAACAAATTTCTACTCTTTTCAAGCAACTTAAATTCTGCATCTGATAATTTAACACAAAAGTAGTGGAACCATCTGTTACAGACGCCTTCGCAACCGACAAGGCCATCCCTTTTAGAGGATTTGCACTTACTACAACCGGACATTATTCAACCATATCATACATTTGCAACAAACAATAAAACAGTGGGTTGGTCGAAATATAATAACAGAAAATTATCGCTAGAATTAGTTTTTAACAACGGTAAAATAAAACCGCTGCACAGTGATAACACCCGAGGATAAAAAAAACAATGATACTATCTATATCACTCCTCCATTGGAGAATCGATCATACAGGCAGAATACGTTATATTATACTCCCATTGTTTATAATTTACAACTAACCTTATACAGATTGTAAGAGGACAGCACAACACGACCACACTTCACACCACATATGGAAAAATATTTTGAGGTGCCTATGGAGACAATTTAAATTTATCGCTGAATCACTCTGCATATACACTTCAAAAAATTTATGACATCGTAGTTATTGACCGTGGAATACAACTATTCTTCTATTCATCTTTGCTTACCATACATATAAAAGACTTAGACTGCAAGCATATAAACACCATAAACGAATCTACCTACTACCTTCTAATTTCTAAAAAAAAAGAAGAAATAGATGGTAGACAAAGAAGAAAAAATAGTCGTCAATGGTCTGTCAGAACCAAAATGTACTCCAAATCAACAAACCCGAGGTAATATTGGTGAAGCAGTGGTTACAAATTTATTACATGCGTTGAAACCGGAACTTGAACTTCGTATTAATTTAAAAATAGTGTTAAAATGTGATCACCAGTCGTTTTGTGTTAATTTTAGTATGTACAATGTAACACTAATTGTAACGTTTCGATCGTTTTGAGAATTATCTCTTTCGTTAAATTTCCGGCAGACATACTAAAGACAAACGGACCTACAGAAAAACAAAAACTGTATTTTTGTATTCTGTTTTTTGAGAAAGATGACATTAGACATTCGTCAAAATAACCCTTCAGTACATGTTTTATTGATTACCGCTAGGAAAATAAAAACTTATGTTATTTACATACTTTCCTCAGTCTCTGAACCACAGCATGCATTTAGTTATTTACTCCTAACATTTTTTAGAAGGCATTGTGATCATTTAAGACTCAGTCGCGCCAAAGGTTTAATCAACAAACAAAAGTTAAAACCCGTAAAATTTTAAATATTTTGTGGACCGTATTAAATTTGAATCTAATAATATAAAATTTAAAACATGGTATATATTCCTCGCTACATCATTGGTCTCTCCTTACCATAAGAAAATCTACGAACTAAATTTCAGGGGCGTAATATAAAAAAAAAGCATACAAATTAACTGGCCGAAATATATTTGCATAGCTGCATAAACTCGCATGCTTTACATATTAGAGATCTTTACTTCGCATTACATAAATTTGATCCTGAGCATTCAACAAAATAATAATCTTAATGCACGCGTAAAATTTCTTAACAACCACTACACTGCTACCCAAATTCTTTCTTTCAAAATGTTTAATAGGTAGACAAAGCAAGCGGGAAACATATTCTCTTTCTATGATTTATATTAGAAATTTCGTTAAAATATTGCATGTGAATTTTAATTTGTAATTTGAGAGTTCCAGTGGCGTGACGACCTGCCGAATAAATACTTTGTCATTTCGTCGATGCCATTAGCTCTAATTAAGGAAATAATTCGTGAAAATTTAAAAGGTTGAAAAATATCTGCTAGTAATAATAATAAGCAAATACAAATAATAAGTGAAACTTTGTGCGGTCATTGAAGTTACGAATATGTAATGAATAGACAATTAGCCAAACCACGTTCCGTAAAACGTACAGTACGTAAAACGTAGAAAAAACTGTTACATCTATGGAAACATAGAAAATGCAATGTCCCTATTGGCGATTATGTACGTTAGCGGATAATACATTGCACGGAACGTAATTTCGCTAACTGTCTAATATTCTAAATTAATAACTAAGTATCCCCTATGATCTGATCAATACAAATTCTATCCTTCGCGTATGGCTCAAACAGTTAAACTGGATCGTAGATTAATTAGTTGATACATACGGGAGTGATTTACATATAATCTCCCTAGCTATGAAATAATGAAATACAAATACAATTTTTTACTGTTAAACAGATACATTTTTTTTTATTAACGATTTACAAAGCGAGTCTTAAGACTTTTGCAAATATTTCAGAAGATTCAAGTTTGAGTTTCAAAATTACGTTGCAAAATTTTGATTTTTAATTCCCGAGCTTTCGTATCCAAGGGGAACGTCGAGAAAGCGTGAAATTAGTCTTTTGCTTGATGGACCCGATTAAAATACGCTTACACGTGAGAAGTAAAATAATCTAGATTAATCTCTCGTTGAATACCCCACAATGCATATTACCATTACTTCCTAAATAATAATCTATGTGCATACATATGAATAATAATTTATTAATGCCTATTGTGTACGTAAACGATTAACGTGTGATTTTGGAAATAAATAACTTCCCCTATTTGATGAAATTTTCCTTTGAAAATAAATACCCGAAAAGCAATGAAAAGTATTTTTTTTCTTTGTTCAACACAGATTGAACTCAGATTTCCGTTAAGCTAACTATATAACTATATATAGTGCTTTTAAAGATCAATGTAAGTGACAAACAATAGTTCACTAATGAATAATGACAAACATATTTTACATTTTCTGCAACACACGCAAGAGATATTATTGTTTTGTTTGTACCTATAGTATTTAAAATAATATATGTATGTCCAAAGTAATTAAATAATTCCCTTTGGTGCAATGAAAATTTGGAACATGTACTTGTATATCCATTAAAAATGAATAAAAAGTTAAAAACTGAATTAGCTTAAGAGATAAAACTGCCTGAACATAATTTTATCTTAAAGTTACATATATATTTATGGTGTGTCCAAGACTTCGTTTAATCGGAAAAAGTTCTTTTATCGATTCAAATATCAAAGCCAAATTTAACGTCATATTAAATAGTAGGTACTTACACAACAGTGACATGAAAAGTATTTCCTAGTGGTAATCGCTCGAAAACTAAGGGTAACTTAACATTTTGTTTTTAAAAACAAGGCAAAACAAGACATTATTGTAGCCTCAACAATATGTACCTTATAAAAGATATAAAATTAAGTATTAATAAATTTTCTAAAAATATTCCAATGAAGACAACAAATCCAACTGTTTTTTCACTGTCAAAAGTATAAGAAAAGTAATTTGTTAAAATTTTTTCAAAATCGATTCGTATTGAACCACTGCATTAAAAAATGTTGTAAAAACTAATAAAATGATTCCAAATATGAAGCAAGGTTGTAAACATTTTGGTGGCAGCGTGATAGCTATTACTATACAATAATTTTGAACAAGTTGGGCCATTTTGACATTTGCATTTGATACATTTAACTAACTAGTCATTAATTAGTTAAATAACATGGAGTGCTGAAAAGCTTTTAGTTGAAAGTGTATGGAAATCTAGTTTCATATCTATTGTCTAGTGACAAATAGTGTAAAATCATATCGTTATGTCGTTATGTACTGTAACCTCACCTGACATACACCTTGTCAAATTTTATGACTTAAGCGGCTTAAGCCAAACCCTTATAAGTCAAACTGGCTATTGTAAACTTTATGCACCCGAACCGCAAGGATTCTTACTGTCCATTGTTGCCATAATGGAGCTGTGAACTGAGTAGTTAAGTTATACAATAGCTTCGTTAAAACAAGATCGCCGATAAAAAAGTATTCAAGCCACTTGGTAGCCATGAAATCCTACGAGTACGTTTTTCAAACACGTAACCACGCGATCACGTTTATTAAAAAATAAAAACAGACCTACTTATATATAAACTACCTACAAATAATAAATTACTAATTATTTAATTAATGATCTACCATATTATCATTCTACAGGGTGGGTCATTTATCCCCAACAAAAAGTGACAAAATATTCCCAAACGAGCGTAAAACCTTTGTCAACTAATGTATGTAAATAAATGCACTGTTATTAATTAATTAATTAATATTTTAATTGTTAAAGTGCCCGAGGCTTGTAGGATGTATAAAAGAGATAAGGCAACCCCATCTTCCTCATTCGTTACCAGTGAACATCAAAAACAAAAATGTCAAAGAATCTAAATAAAAACGATGAGCAATACCCCGAAGGGGAATCTTTAAAAAGTGTAGAAATCAGCCAACCTAAAAATATGTTTGTGGAACAAAAAATGCGCAATTATCCAGGTTTCCACAAAAATATGTATGATTATTTTACGGAATTTTCTAATAATACCGGAATCCATGGATTCAAATATATGGGCGAGCCGGAACGATCTTTTATTGAAAAGTCCTAACTGTACATTAGAGAAAGACTCCTAATTTATACAAACATTTATAGGTTTTACTGGTTTATATTGTTCTGTGCTTCTCTGTACTTTTGTATTTACTTAATAGTCCACACGTGGTCTTCAGTTTTGGTAAGTTTCGTCCAAACGCCTACTCCAGTATGGCAGGTGCCATTCCCAGCAATTACCATTTGTCCCGAAAACAAAGTGAGGCAAAGTGTGTACAATTTTACGCACTATTATCACAAAGTTTTGGATGATATCACTGCAAAAGAAAAGAATTCTTTAACTACAAGCAGTCTTACAGATGAAGAGTAAGTCATTTTTCTTATATTATTTGATGTTCTTTTTTGCTATATGAATAATGTTTTACGCAAAATTGTAGACTACAGAAATTTTATGATGTCTCGTTGATTTGTGACAATTACCTTTATCAGAAAGGAAATAAAACCACAAGTTTTGAAACCATTCAATACTTAATAAACGTAAGAAATTTTACATTATCTCAGGTGTTAATCGATTATTTCTGCGCATGTGCATGTCGCTTATAAGTACGTAATAATAATTATGTTAATTATTTTAAATACCATAACATTTATTCATGTACCAACGACGAAAAAGTGCCTGTTATAGACGAGTTTGCAGTTTGATGGCCGAGCCCTAGCCGTGGCCAGCAAACAAGTGAAACTATAATAGGCAGGTTGTTGCCGAGATGCATATTAGATTTTTCCAACGATCTTCCCTATTTTAGTATATTAAAAATCATTATATAGTCTTTCAAGTGCAACAACTCTTTATTTTAATTATAATGCATCGCATGACCATACGTATAACACACTATTTTTCGGGCCGCGTAAATACAGGGTGTCCCAGAATTCGCGCCATTCCCCTGAATGACATGTTCCCTGTCCCGAATTGTGCCGTAATTCGCAAAAAGAATTGTCCAGGCTTTAACCGTGTGAGAACTGGAAGACGATTAAGTTGACCAATAGAGAGGCTGGTTTTATATTCGAACGTTTCTATGTTCAAAGTTACCTATGCCAAGAACAAAAAATCGGGTAATACTAAAGTTGAATGAATTTTTTTCGAATCCCCCTCCGTCAACAAAAGGAAACAGAAGTGTGGTTATAAATTTAATCATTTTGACAATTGTTTGTCATAAACTGTCACGAAGTTCATCACTGACCTGAAGAGACGCTTCTGCGCCAAAGATGACTGGTTAATGTACACAAAGACATCAAGGTTTAGTTTAAGGCAAGTAGCATGGGACAGAAGTTATTTCTGCTGCCATTCTAGTTAAATTGTGTTTAACTGGGCTGGACATGCCATAAGAGAAGCTGTTTCATTTCATCGTAGGCAAATAATACATTTATTACTATTCTACATAGTGTAGATACCGAACAGCAGGTATTAGAAGTCATTTTCTTAGAGCCCCGTGAATAATGTGTTGTTCTTTTAAATGAAAATTAGTACATTTACAGAATTCACTATGCATCGTGTCCCTGATATTAAGTTTATCGTTATTTCTAGAAAAGAGTACCACATGTCCATTCAAAGAACGTTATTAAGAGTACTAAAACATAAATATCGCTTTTGATTAATCGGTGCTTATAATTTTTAATAAACAGTAGGTATCAATTTTTACTGAACAGCTTTGTTGTTGATACCTAATCTAAGCAACGAAAAAGAGACGAGACTCCACTTCTCTGGTGTATTGAGATCAGAGGTATCTGCTGTGGTGTCAATCATGTGGGGGAGATACTGAAAACGGAGACTTATTCAAGAATAATATTGATGTTGCACATGATGATTTAAAACAGTTTCTTTAAAGGTGCGAGTACTTTCCTAGAGAGAGAAAAGATACGAATAAAAATTATAACAAAAATCGTTTAGTTGCATTTTTTTTTAAGAACAATACAAACTATAAACAAATCATTACCAATACCACTAAGTCACTGATGTCTTATTCATACTAGTATAAAGAATATTTGGAAATGATGTTAATTTATGGAGAAAGTAAACGCTATGCAGCCACTGCTGTGCGCGAATATACAGGTCTTTTTCCCAATCATCGGCTCCTTGACCAGCATGTGAATATTTAATGCGCACAATTGGCACTTCTGGGCAAACGAGAATCCACATTTAGCTAACGTGAGAGCATATCAAGAGCAATACTATTAATCTATGGGCCGGAATCGTTGTACTGTAACGTTATTAAACAATGTGCTCAAAATGATCACCATTAACTTCAATGCAAGTTCTAGCTCGTCGCATTATGTTGTGTTGTATATTATTTAACATCTCAGGAGTAACTGTAGCGTAGGCTTCGTGCAGTCTTCCAGTTCTTCTAACGTATCTAGGGGTTCTCTATATACGTAATTTTTAATTTAATTAAAAAAAAAAGTCCAAAGGAGAAAGGTCTGGAGATCTAGGAGGCCAGATGTTAGTACTGCCACGCCCAATCCACCTATGAGGATAGACTCTTTTCAATGTTCGCCGTGCAAGTATCGAATTATGTGGAGGAGCGCCGTTGTGCTGAAACCACATATTCCGCCGTACATTCAAAGGAATGTCTTCCAACAACGCCGGAAGTTCTAGTCGTAGAAAATTAGCATATGCTTCCCCATTAAGGTGATCAGGTAACACAAATGGCCCCACCTAAAAAACAGGAACGGAGTTTAGTGATAATTTTATCAGATGCATTAAAATTTTTACCACAGTAGTACCAATGATTCCAGCCCATAGATTAATAGTAAATCGCTCCTGATACGCTCTCACCCTAGTGAGATGTGGATTTTCGTGTGCCCAGAAGTGCCAATTGTGTGCATTAAACATTCCTTCTCGGGAAAATGAACATTCGTCGGTGAAAAGAATGCGCCGTGAAAAATCAGGATTTAGTTCATTTTGTCGCAAAAACCATTGAGCAAAATGTACTCGTCACGGGTAGTCGGTTGGTCGCAGATGCTGCACTCTCGTGTAATGGTAAGGATGCAGTATTCTCTCTTGAAGGATACGATGAGTGGTCGATCTTGAGCATCCACTCATTTGCGCTAGATAGAGGACACTTCTCCTAGGATCCGCTTCCATGTTTTCTAACACTTGCTCTTCAGCACCCACACGTACATTCCGTGGAGCCCCAGCACGGCCTTTCCGACTAGGTTGAAAAGATCCATCTTCTCTTGCTCGATGTAACAATCGGTGAAACACTTGTTGGTCTGGGTGCCGACGATTATTCACGGGGCTCTAAGAAAATGACTTCTAATACCTGCTCTTCGGTAGCTACTCTATGTACAATAGTAATAAATGTATTATTTGCCTACGATGAAATGAAACAGCTTCTCTTATGACATGTACAGCCCAGTTAAACACAATTTAACTAGAATGGCAGCAGGAATAACTTCTGTCCCATGCTACTTGCCTTAAAGTAAACGTTGATGTCTCTGTGTACATTAATCAGTCATCTTTGGCGCAGAAGCGTCTCTTCAGGTCAGTGATGAACTTCGTGACAGTTTATGACAAACAATTGTCAAAATGATTAAATTTATAACCACACTTCTGTTTCCTTTTGTTGACGGAGGGGGATTCGGAAAAAAATCATTCAACTTTAGTATTACCCGATTTTTTGTTCTTGGCATAGGTAACTTTCAACATAGAAACGTTCGGATATAAAAGCAGCCTCTCTATTGGTCAACTTAATCGCCTTCCAGTTCTCACACGGTTAAAGCCTGGACAATTCTTTTTGCGAATTACGGCACAGTTCGGGACAGGGAACATGTCATTCACGGGAATGGCGCGAATTCTGGGACACCCTGTATATTATTTATTAAAAATTAAATAATTTTATATTACTTGACATACCGAAGTGACAGTAAGAGTCGAGGGTGACAGTCAGTGCAAACTTTCCTTTACATAACGACCAATGAAATTGTTAGCTATCATTTTCTAAGTTCTAGGCCGGAAACAGCTTGTTTCCGGACGATTTACATTCTATCAAAGACAAATCTTCAAAAACCGCTAGCTTTCTTTGGTCGTGTTTTTTATTACTTTCCTCGGTAGAATTTTGACATGTATTAATCATAACACCGTTTATGACTGAAGCATATCTTTACAAACTGATCTTAGACAACTGGTAACAATTTGCAGATCGCACCACCATTTCACCAAGTTGTCATGGGCTGTAAATGGACAGGTACGAATGAAACTTGTGACAATCTTTTCTCCCCAGTATTGACAGAAGATGGCATCTGTTTTACCTTCAATATGCTAGACAGAAGCGAATTATTTACAAATGCTGTGTAAGGCAATAGTTCTTCAACCTTCACTTATTTTTCATACCCGATTGCAGCTACCTACATGGAGACTACCTCATGAGTCACGACAAGCGTTCAGGAGGGTGGACTCTTGAAAATGGTTATCCTGACAAAGCGGGGAAAGAGACATTTCCGAGGAGAACTATGTCAGCAGGACCTTCTTTTGGTCTCCTTCTTCTTTTAGGAGCTTATGAAGAGGATTTAGATTATATTTGTCGTGGACCAATGCAGGGTTTTAAAGTATTGTTGCATCATCCCGCCGAAGTTCCGGACACCAAAATCCAGTATTTTAGAGTACCACTTAATACCGAAACTGCAGTAGCAATTAAACCCGACGTGAGTACAACTTCTCCAGGTTTAAAAAACTACGATCCACATCAAAGGCAATGTTTCTTCGCACAAGGGCGACAACTAAAATTTTACCAGGACTATACACAACAAAACTGTCAGATGGAATGTGTTGCAAATTATACTCATGCTAAATGCGGCTGCGTTGCTTTCCACATGCCACGTAAGACTGTTAGTAATTTTTGACAAATTGAATAATATCGTTTATTCGTCACAGATGAAGAATCAACTAAAATTTGTGGAGTCGGAAGTACGGACTGTATCGTCGATGCAGAACGTAAGTACTTGTTTTATATTTAATATTATTAATACTGTCGTGTATTGTTGACAAAATTACTATGGTATCAAAGTTATACACAGCCATAAATAATAAAAAAGTGCATCTAAATTTGCTGTTTTAGAACCTTTAACATTTATTACTGTATTAAATTTTCTTGACAATAATTTTTTAAATGAAAATAGTTTTCCATATTTAGCGACTTTTATGTTTGCAGTGGAAATAACTAAGTATTAAATATGTAAAAGATATAAATTCAAGAATATTTCAGACAGCTTCCATGAAGTGTTCGATTTCGTTTTTATGTTTTAACTTGGAAAAGAATATTATAAGGTTCTAATTGAAAAGTCATGTTTACTAAAAACCGACAGATCATGCTCTGTTAATGCAATTTCTAATAGTACTTTACATTCGTTTAACAATTTTTTTTTTTTGAGGAGTACAAAAAATTAAACTATTAATTTTTGGATTTGTGACAAAAAGGATATGAAAAGTGTAAAATTATTTAATTTTAGAGGAGATGTTATCTCGTGAAATGGGGTCAGAATTTCGTCGTTTTGAGGGTAATGATGAATACAATATTTCAGAAACGATATGTGACTGTTTACCTGCCTGTACTTCGATAACTTATAACGCAGAGATTTCGCAAGCCGACTTTAACTGGGTTAAACTTCTTCAAGGATATAAATCTAATCCCAGTGACTTTTCAGGGTAATATTATTTTCCACCAGTATTTTTATTAATAAACTTTTCTATGATTTTGTAGGATTCAGATGACCAGATTAACACTCTATTTCAAGCACACGCAGTTTATCACTTCAAAAAGAAACGAATTTTATGGACAAATAGATTTTCTGGCTAACTGTGGAGGACTATTGGGTTTGTTTACTGGATTTTCGTTCTTGTCGATAGTGGAGATTCTATATTTTCTGTCATTACGGTTATTGTGTAACATTAAAAAGTATGGTATACATTTTTGGTCTGGCTCTAAAACCTTAATTAATGGCGATGATCTGCCCACATAAACTTATATTGCTATTTTTTTATCATTATAACACGTAGAAACCACGTGAAACCGTAAAATTTTAATAAGCACTTACAATATTTTACTGAAATATTTACTCTAAGAAAATATTAAAATATAATCTTAACTACCCTCTTAAGTCTTAATGAACAGTCAAAAATATGTCAGCACACCGTTATTGTTAATTTAATTTGCATACATATCTATGTGAATCATTAGTACCTGTTTTTGTACATACTTAATCTCAACAAACAAAAAATTCCTTTGCAGTTGTCAAAAATAATATTTTAATAGACGCTAATAATACAAGAGAGTTAAATTTTTCATCAGGTCAAATTTTAAATACTGTTTTTGATAAATAAGTCATTATATTTGATCTGAACATTCCACACCAGAACTTTTCAGAAATTTCGTTTTCCTATGGATGAATTTTCTGTAAGTGAGAAAAAGAAAACATGAAAAGTTATTTAATAGTAAGTTATATCATAAGTAAAGAAAAGTGGTACTTTTCCAGTGAGTGTAAAAGGTTTAACTTTTACACAAACATGGAAAACACTTTTCTTAGGCATTGAACATACTATTTTCTTGTGTTCAGTTTTTAAAACGTAAAACAGAATTTCAAAAATAATGTTTGAGTTATATACTTACTTATGATACGCTATTGTCTATAATTTTCATCAACGATGTTGTTTTGCGTCTAGAAGAGAGCTGCGATGTTTATATGTACGCGAATGATATAAAAATTGTTAACAATATCAATGACTGTAACATATTACAAGGCAAAATAAATGTGTTAACCCAAATGTTGTATTGAAAATAAGTTATTTTTAAATTATGATAAATGTTATTTCATGTCTTTCTTTAGAATAAGAGACCTATTTCTTATAACAATAATATAGGCAGTCAAATGTTGAAACGGTGTAGTTCTCAAAGATCAAGGTATAATTTTGGATTCATCTTTATCATTTATTCCGCATTATACATTTGTCCATCTATAAAGGAACTTTACATATGCTAGGTTTCATAATAAGGAAAACCAGAAAATTCGTCAATCCAGACTGTTTAATTCATCTATACACCTCATAGTCCTAGAATATTATACAATCGTGTGGTTTCCTTATTATAACGTACACATTACATTATTGCGCACTGCATTATTAGATATCCAAATATTTATCTAGATAATTTATTTAGATACAAATATCTAGATAATGCCCAACAATGCTGATTTCTCTAACTCACTTTTTAAGTGATACTCGACTTCTTCTTTTACTCTTTCGTCCATTGAGACCATATTTCGTCCAACAATATTTTTCATAACTTCCATTATTTGCTCTTTAACTTCTTCTATTTCATTCTTGTTTGCTTCTTTATCCATTTGAAATTTTTGATTTACGCTGGTGATTGTCATTTTTTTGCAGCCATCATTCTTCAGAATTCTTGTCCAATCTGCCCGGAAGTCGTCGTAAAACCAGTTATTAATCTCAAATCTCACTTTTTACATCAATGTTACTATAATCGGTGATTGAAATCGGCGTTCATAGAACTCAACAATTTATTTCTCAGTAACTCAAATTTACACGACTAATTACACAGCGATTATATACAAAATAATTCCGGCGCAACTTGACTGGACTCTGTCATGACTGAATTGAATTATTCCCGAAGGTGGCCTCTATTTAAACCCATACTCCCTTTCTAGATAGTCGGCGATCGAGGTTTTTCTTGAATAGCCATCATGACTTCCACTTCCAGACTCTTGTACAGTGAACGCCATCCCGACGCCGTCAGCCACGATGAATCACCCCATTATCGCCGTGCATACTAGAAAACCCTCGCGCAAACCATAGACGTCATACCGAGGCGGCGTATGAGTTTACTCCGATTTAAGTGACTATTTACCAGTAATTCAACCAAAATTTGTGAAGAAGATTTGCCGAAGTCTAAAGGGGTTCGCCAATCTTTAAGTTTTAGTGATTACAAGAATACATCTAAGTGACAAAAAAAATTACTGTTAGTCATTTCTAGCGATCTGGAATACCTAATAGGTACTTGTCCTAGGAAGCGAATGATTCGGAAACCTGGAATTCTACACAACTGCACATTGAATTTGAATGCTCAGTATTTTTCTTCCAAGTTTAAAATCCTCAGTAATTTTTTTTTTTACAACAGAGACCTAAAACTTACAACAGTTAACTTATTAAAACAAATATCAAGTTATAAAATCACAAATTTTAAAATTAAAAAGTTAATATCAAACCATCTGCCCTAATGGCAAAATTTGTAACAAAGAAATAAGTGCGCTTTAAATATTGACCTAACTATATTTGGATTCAATCTTTGGATACAAAACTTTTGAACTATAATTAGCTGTAATCAGTTCAAAAAATGAAAGCCTACCCTTCTAAAAAAATAATGAGATCGTCTCGTTTATTGAAAAATAATAATATCTACGAATAACTAAATCTCTTGACAGCAGCTTAATCACCATACGGTATCATTCACCCCCAGTAAAAAATTATAAAATATTCCCAAGCCACCGGGTGTGAATCTATTAATCTATTAGCGAACGTAAACAGGTATAATTTTATTAAATTTAATATATATACAAGTGTTCAGAAAAGGGCTGGAGAAGTGTGTAGGTAGTTCCACATGCAGAAATAAAAGAGATAAGACAACCCCATCTTTTCCATTAGTCAACATCGGAAGTAAGAATGGCAACCAGCCCAGATAAGACCGAAGCTATACATCCAGAAATTGGGCCTTTCGATAATGTGAAAATCATCGAACCTAAAAATAAATGTGTGGAACATAAAAAGTGCAAATATCCTGGTTTTCGCAGAAATATTTATGATTATTTTACGGAATTTTCGAGTAATACCGGAATCCATGGCTTCAAATATATGGGCGAGCAAGAAAGATCTTTCGCTGAAAAGTCTTAATGGTATGTTGTAAAAAGATTTCTAAATTAAACTTGAATTTATAGATTTTACTGGTTAATTCTCTTCTGTATTTCTCTGTTCTTCTGTATTTATCTAATATTACAAGCATGGCTAAAGTGGGATGAACCTCCAGTTTTGGTAAGTTTCGCCCAAAGCCCGACACCAGTGTGGCAGGTGCCTTTCCCAGCAATTACCATTTGCTCCGAAACCAAAACGAGGCAGAGAATGTATAATTTTACGAATTATTATCACAAAGTTATAGATGATATGATTATAAAAGAAAGAAATATCTCAGCAGCAAGCAGTCTCACCGATGAAGAGTAAGCCATTTTTATTTTATTATTTAATGTACTTTCTTATTACATGAATAATGTTTTTATGTAAAATTTTAGGATACAGAAATTTTCTGACATCTCGTTGATTTGTGATAATCATCTTTATTCGGAAGGAAATAAAACTACGGGTTTTGAAACCATTGAATACCTAATAAGTGTAAGAAACTTTAACTGTTAATGCACATGTTCACCGATTGCTTCCAATTTGCAGATCGCTTTTAAAGACATAATTATTTTAAGACAGCGTTTTCCTTCAACAAGTGTAAAACAATTGCGAAAACTAAATATTTTCATTTATAATCTAGCAAATACGTTTTACACAAATCTCTGAAAGAATGACATTTTAATTTAAAAATTTATAGCTGTAAAAAAGGTGGTCAATTTAAACATTTTACATACTGTTTAATAATCCACTTTTATTTTTTTAACATCTCTGGAATATAAATATAATACATTTATGTGAAAATCATTGTGGTTGTCAACCATAGTAACTATGGTAGTAAATGAAACGCAAGGAAATAATAATAATCATTTAAAAAGAATGTTAAACGTTTGAAAATAAAATATTGTATGTATTTCGGAGTGTAAGTGACTTTATGTGACTCGTATGGATTTAATTTTTTAATGGTCTATACTCCGTCACATAAAGTATCACTTAAACTTCCTAATAAAATAAGTATCTATTATTTGATTGACACGTGACATGGTTAGTACTATTTTATCACAAATTGCGAATTCTTTTTTTATTTCAATAACATAAGGTGCTACAAAAAGCGAGAATTATTTAGACACCGTTTTTTTCGTTATCTACAACTTTTATATGCACCGTGTTGATTAAAAATAATTTATTAGGACAGCCAATATTTGCAAATTTCCGTTTTTACATTTAAAATCCCTATGTTCCAAAAACGATTCAACAGAAATATTCACGAATTACCGACTATTTCCTTTGATTGGGCTAAATATTGCATACTCTTTGTTAAAATTCTTTAGCACACTGTTTTTTTTTTTACCTTAAAGCTCTGTACAGCCATGACCATGTGTATACTATACATTACTGTACAGGCTGATTTAGCGTAAATAACGAATTTGATTTGTCCCTAGAGGCACCCCAAAATAATTACATACATTTTTCTTCTGTTCCTTGATTCATAGTAAAAATTTAAAAAATATCATGAATCCAAGTTTGCATTTTTATGTCACTGTCAATTTTGAGCAGAGTGTCAAGAAAATGTTCTAGTGGCGACAGAAATATCCCGAACGTAGACATCCAATAGATACAATTTTCACAAGACTTTATAACACCAAACATTTGGCTTCTGAGTAAACGAAAAAAAAAATCGGTTGTCTGTAAAGTCGGTTTACTGACGATAGTTGAACGTGACAACGTCTTAAGAAAATACTGATGGAATGGTAGCATTTTTCAAAAGAAAGTTTTAATTTCATTTGTTTAATAGATTTGTATGTATATAGAGAAGGAGGTAATTAGAAATCACAATGAAATTGATCAAGTTAGATTTATTTATACGCATAAATACAATTATGTCAATTTTTTTTTACAATTTAATAGTTTTTACAAGTATAAATGTGCGTTGAGCAATTGTTTTACAACTGTTAAACATGTGTAATATTTAATTTCTTACAATCTGTGTTATTCTGTTGAGAATAGGACGATGATAGGAAAAGTAGGAAATGAAAGGGAGTGTTTCGAGTTTAATGTGTCTTGAAAAAATTGACACTACATTCACTTTTCACTGCACTTGATACTCGACCAAAACATGTAAATGTACTATAATATAGCAGCTGTCCACGCAGACGCATCGCTCACTCAAGTAGGAGAGAGACGGATGGCGAACGCTGCCGAACGCGAAGGCCGATTGTGCCTCTTTGTCGCTCGTTCCGCGTTCTCGCTTGCACTTCAAGCCTTACATGGAACGCCTCAGAGCGAGGTAACGCCGCATGAGTCATGTCGAGGTAACGCCGCATGAGTCATGTTTTTTCGTGCGTGCAGCCGGCTCAATCGAATTATAAGACGTTGTCACGTCAAAAATGTTTTAATCGCTACACATTTGGACAACGAGATCTGAGTTCTCTTTTTTTTTTCACATTGGGGAACGGATAATTGCGTGAGAAATTGGCGTAACTCAATCTTGCGTTTGTCGGATGTTAAAGACTAACACGTTCCATCCGTATCATATCTGATCATATGCAGTTAGTTCATGAACTACGAAAGACTGACTTTTCATGAAGATTTGCATTTTCCAATTTTTTTTGGAAACAGCTACTAAATGATCTCAATTTTATCAGGAACATTTTAGTGATGAATCTAAATTTTCAAACAATGCTAATATTAACAAACACATTTACATCACGCACAAAAAAATCCACCATGGATTCGTGAAATTCATGAGTAAGAGTAACAGTGACACTTTGTTTCGACGTTTTTAAAAGCCTAGACTTCGTGGATTCGGTTTTGACTATCTATCTTGAAAACATAAATGACGCCAGTTCTATTAAAGCACAGTTCAGCTATTGAACTATTAAAGCATTCATTTGGGGCCTTTAATAGCTCAGGTTATAAACGGAAGGGATAAAAAAAGAGTAAAAAATAATCGCATTCGAATATGATTGATATAGGGTATCAAACTAGGTAAATGCGAGATATTTATTTAGATTCTCGACACATTTTAAATACGATATCAACATCTTGAGCATGTTCCTTTTCTTTAAAACACTTATATCGATTGTAGTTAGGTACATTTTAAATCATACATGTATAGCTGCATAAACGAAACTATTTTCACAAATAAGGAAACATATAAAACTTTTTTTTCCAATTTCTACTAATAAAATGCTCATTTTGTATGTTAAATATAGCTATTAAAACAACAGTTTAATCGAAAGGATGAATAAAATGTTGATAGCAACACTTTATTATTCACACTGTCATTGACAACATGAATAAAGTAAAAAACTAAAAATTCGCACTACCACTGAAATTTTCGTTGCTATGGATGTGTGGATATTCAACTAAAATTTGCAACGCTTGATAGTCCACCTCCTGTAAAACAATCCTAATGAAAGTCCAGGAGCATCGTTTAAATTTGACCGTGACGAAAGTACACGCAGCTTAGGCAATTTACCTTTTTCAAATGTTCATCATATTAGTAATAGCACAATTAACATTTAAGTATATGGATTACCTAAACAATAAATTTTTTGAAAAATTTTGCGAAATAGGAAAAAATCTTGTATGATACACGTGAATAAACGAATTTTATCCACTCAAAAACATTATCACACTCAGCTTCACCTCTTGTGCTAAACCGTTTTTTTGTTGGATAAAATTCATTTTTATTCACTTAGGTATACCATAAATAGCTATTCTTAATTTGTAGCTCGCGCCACCATTTGAAGAGGTTTTCATGGGCTGTAAATGGACAAGCACGAACGAGACTTGCAATGACCTTTTCTCTCCAATGTTAACAGAAGATGGCATTTGTTTCACATTTAACATGCTAGATAGAAGCGAACTGTTTACAAATGCTGTGTAAGAAAATACTTGTTTTCTTTAATGTATACTATGTCTACGATTTATGTTATGCATAATTATAACCGATTCCAGCTACTTACATGGAGACTACATGGATCACGACAAGCGCTCAGACGGATGGACCCTTGAAGATGGTTACCCTCGAGTCGCAGGAAAAGACACATTTCCTAGAAGAGTTATGTCAGCAGGGTCGAAAGCTGGCCTATTTCTTCTTTTGAGAGCTTATGAACAAGATCTGGATTATGTTTGTCGTGGACCAGTACAAGGTTTTAAAGTATGGTTGCATGATCCAGCCGAAGTACCAAGGGTCGGAACCCAATATTTTAGAGCACCACTTAATCAGGAAATTGTAGTGGCAATTAAACCTGACCTGATGACAACTTCTGCAGGCTTAAAAAACTACGATCCACACCGAAGGCACTGTTTCTTCGCACAGGAGCGACAACTACAATTTTTCCAAAGCTACACACAGCAAAACTGTCAAGTGGAATGTGTTGCAAATTATACTCGAACTAGATGCGGTTGCGTCGCTTTCCACATGCCACGTAAGATTAAATAATTAATTTCAGTAAAATCTAATATTATTTATACTGTTGCAGATGAAGAATCGACGAAAATTTGTGGACCTGGAAGCAATCAATGCATATTCGAAGCAGAACGTAAGACCATATTATACTGATATTAGTGAGATTAGCTTCCCGACGAGTTGTCTAGCCTTCGGTGTGATTAATCACTTTGCAAATTTAGAGGAACGCGGTCGTTATCCGCAAAAGTGGCGACGCCAGTGTAGACAGGTGTAATTCAGCGTCCGGCGGGGTTTTGGTTCCCCCAAATAGCGCGAAAGTACGATCTTTCGGCAAGTGGGGGTAAACATATAGGTCGCCACACTACTAACATCTCACTAACACCTGGTTGCACATAGGCGACACACAATGAATTAGTAGACAACTCAATGGGATGGTGCTGTACTGATGAGATCAAACAAGATCGAAACTGCAGTCTACAGCTTCCCAACGGGTTGTCCCTAGCCTTCGGTGTGATTTATAATCACTTTGCAAATATACTGATATTATTTATATTATTGTTGTTGTTGTTGCTAATGATACCACCGCTAAAGTAATTCACAGACAAAAGTAATTAATAATTTACTTCTGAATCACTTATGGGTTGAACCATAAATTTTATTTTAGCTGGAAGAATAATTACTTTAGAACATTTTAAAAGCAACGATGTTTTCAACGTAAGTAACGGGTGATCAAAAAGTTTTCAGATTAGAGTTGGCCATGGAAATATTTGTCATGTCTTTGATTAAACTGCAAATGTCATGCATAACCTCATTTGTATTTCAATAATTTGGATTCTTGACATTTGCATTTTAATGAAAGACATGACAAATATTTCCATGGCCAACTCTAATCTGAAAACTTTTTGATCACCCGTTATTTTTAACAACAGAAAAATTATAAAAAGGCAATAAAATCGACAAATGATGTTTATATTATAAATATAAAAGCCGCAATAATTTTTCGAAAACATGTTTTACACATACAAAAAAAATATTTAATTTTAGAGGAGTTGCTAACTCGCGAAGTAGAATCAGGACTTCATCGTTTTGAAGGTGATGAAGAAGACAGTGTTTCAAAAACAGAGTGTGATTGCTTACCTGCCTGTACTTCCATAACGTATAATGCAGAAACTTCGCAAGTCGACTTCAATTGGCCTATGCTTTTTCAAGGATTCAAAGCTAATTTTAGTGAATTTCCAGGGTAATTTTCATTTTCCAATAATATTTCCCTCAATAAATTATTTAATGATTTTATAGGATTCAGATGACCAGGTTAACACTCTTTTTCAAGGATATGAATTTTCTCAATTCAGAACGAAATGAACAACAACTTTATGGACAATTAGATTTCCTTGCCAATTGTGGAGGATTATTGGGTGTGTTTACTGGATTTTCGTTCTTGTCGATCGTTGAAATTGTATATTTTCTGTCATTAAGACTACTGTGTAACATTAAAAAGTATGGTGTACACTTCTGGTCTGGATCGAAAACGTTATTAAATGACGACGCTTATCACAAGTAAACTCGTTAATGCTAATTTACTATTATTATTACTATTACTCATAAAAATCTTTTAATTTCAGGTTTAATAAATGTCAATTATTATAGATGAAAATTTTAAATATATATATTATAACTTTTCCAATAGTTTAGCCACATACTAATGTAAACAATACTAGACACACATGAAAATTAGAATGAATCCTTTTTTTTTAAGTTCTATTTTATTTCGTTAAAAATCCATCAACTAGATTAAAGTGTTTAATTTAAGTTATGGTAATAAAAGATTTTATCACCATAACAAATTTACTTGTTAAGCATGCTACATTCTGCATTCAGTGTATTCACTAAATAGTGTTTAATTTACTATAAAGAAAAATAGCACCATATCCATAACATATTAACTTCTTGGTCATTCTACAATATAAGTATATAGGGTGGAAATACTTAAAAATTGCTTACCACATTATTATAACAATATTGCATAGTTTTATGTATGGTATAAATTTAGAAATGCCGGGTGACTCGGAATTTATTTAATAGACAACCAACTCGCATATTAGTAACGTTCTTTTTATATCAATACCTAGTGAAATGCGATAAAAGTCAGATTTAATGTGACATTAATTAACACGAAAAGATTTTTAAGGTCGTTTCTTGTTTAACATGATAGAAACTCAGCTTTTGTCGCATGCACATATTGTCACGGTTAAATAAACTCCGATACAACCAGTCTACTTAAAAACATAATGTATTTTTATAAAGAATTACATATATTCACTTTCAATAAATATTGTTTAGTAGTAATTAGATGTTATTTAGACAGAACTTCCCTAGCTGCTGAAGTACAGTACAACATATCCAGTTTTTTCGAAACATTATAAAATTTGATTTTGTTCCACATAATGGTGGAGTATGGATACATATGGTTCCCGCACATTGCGCAAAACTATCGAAGTTACTTGGTAACACTCCCAAATGATTGTTTCCCTTCATTTTTCCAAAAGATTCTAGTCCAGCTTATTGACATAAATAATCAAGAACTGCAGAATCGAATACTTTCCAATTTTGGTGGTTTTAAAGTTATCATAAGCATGGTAAATTTTTGATCAAAATGTATTTGCTCATCTACCCTAAAAAATTGATGACGCACCTCAAAATTTTGCTGACCAAATCCTTACCATATTAAATGTTCAAAGTATGATGAATCTATACTTGTGATTTACCACTGCATTAATATTTTTTAGATTTGCTTATGCAGAGTGTCTAAAAAAAATTAATGATTGAGTCAATTTATTGTAATGATTATATCAAGAATTGCAAAACTGAATACTTGCAGACGTTTTGAAATTATTGTAAGCATGATAACTTTTTAATCAAAATGTAACTGTTCATCAACCCCAAAAAATTGATTACGTCATCTAAAAATTTTGCCGAATAAATCCATAATATCTATTTATTTTTCTACAATAATATCGGCTGAATACCGTGATTTTGTTTATATATCATATAACCTCATTAATAAAACAGGTCAATTGTTTGTTATGTTATTGAAAGTAGGTTGAGCATTATGTCCTATAGCAATTTTATAGTAGGTAATCAAATTAAAAAATTGGTGCTTATTAAATAAATATTAATGGCGCATTAAAGCTTTATGTTGAAGATTTGACCTGTTGAACTTAATTAAGTTAACGTTTTCATAAACCGGACTATAATAAAATTATGATCGCCGCCAGGCTTCTTAAATATATACAACAAAAGTCAAAACAAAATAAAGAGTGGAATTTTTTACTAGACATCAATTAAAGCTGTGTAAATAAATTTACAGTTTTTTTTATATTTCATAATCAAATGGATATGACGACAATCTCAACAATAAGGGAACATCGCCACTGCAAATCAGTATTCATCTACCTGTTAAGAAATCTGGTCATACATCTAACGCTACAGAATTTCAGACAATTTTTTTTCGGAACCTCAGATTTCATTATATGGGGATGAATTTTATACATAATTATTGCACATAATAATTCTTTATCACCAAGATTAATAAATACACTTGTCTAATCTTTTGCAGTAATGGAGGGTTCAGATTTGTTGTTGTTTAAAGTTTAACGTTTTATTTATCATCCTATCCTACAGATGTAATATGCCCTGTCAGGTTAGTAATTTATGCAGTTTATAATACTCTGTTATTTGATAATAATCACATATTATCGACTCTGTCTGCAATTATCTTTCTTCAATTGTAACCTGGAGGAATACAATGCAAATTTATAGTTATTAACAATTTCAGAAAAAAATAATTGTGTTTTCATATAATTTGTAATTTTCTCATCAAAACTTTCGTTGAATTAGCATTATGTTGATTGAAACAACGCACTGTACAGTGTATTCTCAAAAGAGAGTCAATTCCATTATCATGACGGTTCGAAGATAGTGTTACGATGAACAGATATTTTAAAATCGGCGTAGATAAAACTCAACAATTTATTTCTCAGTAACTTAAATTTACACGACTAATTACACAGCGATTATGTACAAAATAATTCCGGCCAAACTTGACTGGATTCTTTCTTCACTAAATTGACTGAATGCCTTGTCCCCGAAGGTGGCCTCTAAATATTCTGCGATCGAGGTTTTTCTGGACTAACTGTCGCGACTTCCGCTTCTAAGCTTTTCTTTAACAAACTTTTGTACTTCGTTAATTATAACTGCTTATATACGAAACTTCACCGATCATCGTGATTTTTGCAACAAGAGAAACTCCCGTATGAATAATTCCATTTCCAGCTGTTACTATATATTTGTCCAGCTTCAAAAACCAGAGTTTCAGTATTTTATTTTACACAAACATTATTATAAAAAAAAAATACAGAATGAAGCTTTAATAGAGGAAGAATAAGTGGAACTACGAATGTTTGTTTCTGTATCTCTAACAGTATCATAATACTTAGTACCAAAGTATTCTTAAACGATATTTGAAAATCGGATCAGTTTAATTAAAGCGACACTGCAAAAAAACATGGTAACATAAGTAACTATGAACTTTACTCTTTTAATTTCTCAACTATGATTTAATACAAATCTGAAGCGCTAGCAAAATCTTCAAATATATATATAAAATGTAAAAATAAATAGGAGTATGATAAACTACAAAAAAAAATTATAATCTCATCTTAACATTTTGACCAGTGCAGGTTAGTTAAAAAATTTTTGAATACTTGTAATATATCCCTGTAATTATGGTTTATGAATCCACTTTGATTTTGTTTATTAGTAATATAATTTTTATTGTTTAATTCTTCTTGTTCTTTAGATACATAATATGAGATTCGACAAACGTAGTTAGCCTTGTATACGAAATTCCCAGGTTTGATTTCGATCCCCAGCGTTTTAAATTTTTTTGTTGCTCTAATCAAGAATCGTTCACTCCATTTTCCCGAACATATGACAAAACAGTACTATTATTGTTAGTATTACATTGTACCCATTCAAATTGATATACGCGTCTGGCTAACGTGTGGATAACGTCATAGCAGAATTTTGTTATGGAAAAACTCACTTGAAACATACGTCTAGCCTGCTTCTTTACCTGTACTTTAACAGTTCGCATGCATTTGATCCCCCAAAATATAGTGTTTTTATAACTTAATTGCAGTACATTGCAAAAAGGAATGCAGAAAAAGTCGTGGTCTTAACAATCATCGACGACAGCACCAGAAAACCCGAAATCTTGGTTCGAACGCGTCTATAAAAACATTTAGTGTCTTTGGCATCAGCTATTTTAGATTCGTGTTTAGTCCTGTCGCTTTGAATAATGAGCGAAAGCTAGTTGAAAAACACTGCGAGCCCTGTAATCAACCTCCGAACCCGCTCTCTTGAAAGTTCGCTGCAGGGCTCGTTTTTTTTTATCTTTAAAATTTTGTTCTTAATCTAAGGGTTTTTAGGAGACCTCTTGTCGGTGAAGGTGACTGTATTACATTCAGTGGTGATAAGCAAATTTTTTTTTAAGATCCCAGTTGTTGGCAACTGTAGAATGGAACAACATAGAATTCAAATCCATCTCGTTTACATTTTGATTTATTGCTTTATAATACAATGTTCTTAACAGAAACTGTCCAGTCAAGTAGATGTCATTTACACTGACTTTAACAAGGCTTTTGATCAGATTGATCACTATGTACTCTTTGCGAAACTTAGCTCATTTGGACTTTCTAACTCATTACTTCAACTGTTTAAATCTCACCTCCTGGACAGGAAACTTTTTGTTAAGTATGAGAATTTTGTTGTGTGATATTGTGGACTTCTTGCCAAAAACTCTTCGCTGATGATCTTAAACAATTTTTGACAGTTAATACGATACAAGACTGTCAGCTTTTACAGGATAATTTACACTTATTATCTGCATGGAGTGAAAAAATCGTTTATTCTTAAATATCAACAAATGTGTTGTCAGCTACTCCAGGAAAGAAAAAACTACCATCTACGATTATTCGATTGATTCAGTGGTCTTAAGCAGATTGGACTCATTCAAAAATTTAGGGGTTACATTTGATTATAAATTCACTTTTAGAAATCATATCCTTGATTCTGTCAGCAAAGGCCACAAAATGTTTGGTTTCATTTACAGGAATTGTTCCGATTTTACTAATGTACAAGCTCTGCTTAATTTATTATTCGTTCATACGCTCTAGGTTAGAATATGCTACTGTTATATGGTACCCTATTTATTCTACCTATGTACATTTAGTTGAGTCAGTACAGCGGAAATATCTTAAATTTTTTTCATTCCTAATCGACGGTGTTTATCCTCCTCGGGGATATGATCACACCGCTCTGCTGGCCAGATTTAGTTGTAGCCTTCTTCACTAGGCGTTTCATTTTTAGTGTTAAACTCCTACATAGCCTTCTCACTTACAAAACCGACTGTATTCATTTTTGTTAAGTAAAATTGTATTTCGAATTCCTAGATTTAATAGCAGAAATTGTTTAACGTTTTACTGTAACACATGCAGAACTAATGTCTTAACCAGATCGCCGATAGTACTCATGTATGTTAATTACAATTTAATTAATAGTTTATGTGACATCAACCACGACTCGTGTAATCATATTTTGGATGTTATACTTCGTTATTTTATTTTAATATTGTTCGCTTATTGCTATTGGGTATGTTATAAAAGTTATCATTTTTATTTTACTTTAAGTATGGACCGTTATGCCTACATCTAGTATATTTTCTTTTGTATTTTCATTTCCTGTAGTTGGGTGTTTACCCATTGGAAATAAATGTATTATTATTATTATTATTATTATTGAGGTTTAAAACAAATTTAAAGGTCCACTGTTAGGGTCAGATGATCCGACTTACCGATAGAGTCGAGGTATTCTAAACTGACGAGAGAGTTATTGTCAGATAATATTATAAGTCCAGAGTGAAAAGCTGGCTCCTGGTTAGATCTATGTCCTATTGGTTGCGAACCACCCAATTTAAGTGAATATTTACCAGTAATTCAACCAAAAATTGCGAAGAGGCAGTGTAAGATCTGCCGGAGTGTAAAGGCGTTGATATATGTTCGGTATATTGAAGTCACAAAAGATAACGGTATTATATTATATTATGTTATATTTACCCGCGAGACTGAAATAAAGTCAACCAACATTCTATCATTGGCAATCGAGGACGACGGAGGTCAATAAACACAACCCACGACAAACGAAACAGTGTTATCAGATATTAAAAGAAATAGCTCCTGAACACCACAATTGTCAAATGATATAGGAGTATAGTAGCCTGCATAGATATTGTAGCCGTCCATAGAGTCGAAATTTGCGAATAAAAATAAAATAAAACCGGCTCAAACGGAGCCGACAACGGCTTGCAAGTTCTGTCACTGCGGCACGCGTCACCTCACACAGGGGTGTATTTAAGGCTGTTTGCACAAAATCTTACGGTCACTGTAATCTTACTATTTTCTATCTACGATAAACGATTTGTCACACAGCTACGAAACCGATGATCTAGAGAAAGATGGAAGTTTGAAAATTTATTTCAACAAGTGTAATAACCGTTTGGTGCAACACGATTGGTTCAAGCAAACTAAAATATGACAGGAAACAAACAGTCCACGTGGACTAGTTTATAGGTGTGTTTGCTGCAATGTTGCTGCTAAGATGACTAGGTTTTTCGCTCCACCTGCCTCCGCAACGATGAATATACCATACCACAACTTGTGTACAGTGAACAGAGGTTCGATTTTATTGACGAGATTCAGCTCAGAAATTAAACAGATTATATCATAACGGAAAAAATGACATTTAATATTAAATACGTCTCTGTGCAACGTGTGCCAGAGTGACGTCAGATTTTGCAAGCCACCGTCGGCTCCGTTTGAACCGGTTTTATTTTATTTTTATTCGCAAATTTCGACTCTATGGACGGCTACAATATCTATGCAGGCTACTATAACACAAAATTTCGAAAAGACTCGATGTGAAAGACACCTGCAAACATCACTACCCCCTCTACAGCCAATAGTTCGGAATATAGTGTAACTCTTCAAGGAAACCAAACCATTCATCCTGCAATGAAGCACAATATATGGTTTGTCGTGCTCAACGAAGGAACAAAAATCGTTATATGTGGCCGAGGGAGATGCAATATTAGAGTAGCCTATTGAACATAGAAAGTAGTTAAGGTATAGTGTGAATGAGAATATATATTAAAAATTTATTAACTACGGACGATTGCCTTTAGCTACTTGTCCTTGGAAGTGAGTGATCCGGAAGCCTGGAGTTCTGCTCAAGTACACATTGAATTTAAATTTTCAGTATTTTTCTTCAAAGTTCAACATGATCAATAAAATAGACACTTAAAACCTATAATGGTTAACTTATTGTTAAAAGAAATAAGTTATAAACTAAACAATTTTAAAATTAAACATTAAAAAAAACCCTCTACTCCAATAACAAAATAAATATATAACAAAGAAATAAGTCGGCTTTAAAAATTGACTAACTACATTTAAATTCAAATTTTAGATACAAAACTTTTGAACTATAATTAGCTGTAATCAGTTCAAGAGATGAAAGCCTACGCTTATAAAAAAATAATGAGACCGCCACGTTTATTGAAGAATAATAACAGACCTACCTACCCGTGAAATATCTACCAGTCACAAAGAACTAATTCTCTTGATAGCAGTTTATCATATTAATCACTATACGGCGTCATTCACCCCCAGCAAAAAATTATAAAATATTCCCAAGCCACCGGGTGTGAATCCATTGATATGTTAGTGAATGTAAACAGGTATAATTTTATGTATATACAAATGTTTACAAAAGGGCTGGAGGCGTGTGTGGGCAGTCCCACATGCAGATATAAAAGAGATAAGACAACCCCATCTTTCCCATTCAGTATTAGTCAACATCGGAAGTAAGAATGGCAACCAACCCAGATAACAACGAAGTTAAAGACCCAGAAATGGGGCCTTTAGATAATGTGAAATTCTTCGAACCTAAAAATAAATTTGAGGAACCTAAAAAGCGCAAATATCCTGGTTTTCGCAAAAATATTTATGATTATTTTACGGAATTTTCGAGTAATACCGGAATCCATGGCTTCAAATATATGGGCGAACAAGAAAGATCGTTCACTGAAAAGTCTTAATGGTATGTAGTGAAAAGATTTCTGAATTAAACGCGAATTTATAGATTTTACTGGTTAATTCTGTTCTGTATTTCTCTGTACTTCTGTATTTACTTAATAATCCAAACATGGCTAAAATGGGATCAATCTCCAGTTTTGGTAAGTTTCGCCCAAAGTCCTACACCAGTATGGCAGGTGCCATTCCCAGCAATTACCATTTGTTCTGAAACGAAAACTAGGCAAAGAGTATACAATTTTACGGATTATTATCACAAAGTTAGAGATGATATGATTGCAAAAGAAAAAAATATCTCGGCAGCAAGCAATCTCACAGATGAAGAGTAAGTCATTCATTTTTTTATTATTTAATATACCTACTTGCTTGTTACATGAATGTTTTACGTAAAATTTTAGGATACAGAAATTTTCTGATATCTCGTTGATCTGTGATAATCATCTTTATTCGGAAGGAAATAAAACTACGAGTTTTGAAACCATTGAATACCTAATAAGCGTAAGAAACTTTAACTGTTAACGCACATGTTCACCAATTGCTTATAATTTGCATTTCGCTTTTAAAGGCATAATCATTTTAAGAGCGTTTTCTATAACTCAGCGTAAAATTATTGCGGCAGCTAAATTATTTTATTAGAAAACAAATATAACTTGAGCGCACTTTAGGAGAGTAAAGCTACAGCTTTGAACAATTTATTGTCAGGGATATAATGGTGTAACTAACAAATAAAACTCGCAAATTTATAACCCAGTTATAGGCAAAAAAAATTCAACAGATGCTAGTAAACATCCGTGTAACGGTATTGCCGGTAGCATCTAAACTTATTATTACTTGTTTACCTCGCAACATTTGAGCATTTGTTTCTGCATGTTTGTAACTTCAAATAATCTCCAAAAAAACTGACATATTTTGGTTGTTTTTTTTATTTCTCAATTCTATTTGTACTACCTACATGTAAGTAGATATTGATGTTGATGTTGATGTTGACATTTAAATCATGCTCGAAAAAAGGGTTTAATGGTTATCTTCGTTAACAATAAATCTGATACATCTTAAGAAAACTGTAATAAATTAAATATAACTTTTTTGTTAATATTATCTTATTTCACATTACCTACCATACGATCGAAAAAAAAAATCTCTAGTAGGTCGCGCAATTTATTTTTAAAATAATGTTGTTGGCAACAACAATCTTTTCCTTACAGGGATTGACAATTAGAATCAAATAACTGTCAAATAGCTGCAATGCTAACATTATTATTTTAAAAATAAATTGCACACCCTACTAGAGGATTTTTTTCGATCATATGGTTTTAATTCAAAGAGAATGTATGACATTTTACGAGTTTAAAACCTAAAGGGACAGTTTTTCCAACATTTTAACTGAGATTTAGTTAATCACGCATTTAACGAGGCGTTTAGCGACGTCTGATTGGCATAGATTTGGTCACGTGGTACTTTAACGCTGTGTTAAAAATTTAATCGCAATTAAGTCAGACAGAACAAAAATACTTCTGTTAGATAGAATATAATTATTTCAAAAAATTCAAATTTGAACTGTAATTTATTTACAACGCATTGCGTAAATACAGAAAAAGTAACAATTTTTTAGTAATTATTTTTAAATATTTGCGTATTGCCAATTTCAGATATTAATGCATGTACTTAGGTATGTTCATACAAAGTTATCTAGCATAATCAGCAGCAATAAAGAATCGCCAAAAAGAATGAGTGTCAAAAATTAAGAAAAGCACTACTTAATAAACGGTTCTTACGAAAAAAACATTACACGGGTGTGCTAAACGCATTTTTATAAATAATTCATCGAATATCTAATTAAAGTTAATTTACCTACTTTAATGCCAACATATTTTGTCCAACATAAATAATCTGGACTCTGCACAACCACAATCATATCCTATACACATAATTATTCCGCTAAAACAACCCAATCCAATAGAGAGAGAGAGAGAGAGAGAGAGAGAGAGATAGTAAAAATCCATTTCTCTGTCGTCGGTTAGCAATTTTATTAAACAAATAATCTCCAAAACTATTGAACTGATTGTTGTGAAATTTTAAATGTATTTTAGAAACATCGTATAGATGATAAACCGCTATATAAAATTTGTTCGATCACCCCCACCAACATTATATGACGGCATGTCAAAATTTTATACAGTAATTCTTACTTCGATTTCATAAAGGTTTAACATACTTCTACACTTTTGACTTATAAATCCGCTTTAATTTTTTTTGACACAGAAAATTAAATTGTTTTAATCATAATTGTGTACCAACATTTTACAATTAAGCTTTTAAAGTGGAAAATTATTGAATGTCCTGAAATCTTGCAAACGTTGTAACATTATGTTAAGCATGGTAAATGGTGAATCAAAATGTATCGGTTTATTCCCTCCAAGAACTTGCTGACGTCATCTCAAAATTTTGTTGAATCTATCTCTGTCTATTCATGGAAAACGTGTAAAATATATTAAATGTCTACATTGTGGTTTATCATTGCTTTCATATTTCTTAGAATTACTTTTGCAGGAAAAAATTAGTAATTGATCTAATTTATTTCGGTTATTAAATTAAAAACGTATTTCCTCATTTTCTCCAAATTTTGGAAATACAATATTATTGTTATTAATATTACACTGTACCTGTCCAAATTGTGTCTTTAATAATTACTGTAACTATTAAAAATAACATTTCATTGTTTTGACGTTTAGTTTATTTGCTATTTAACAGTGACCTTTGTAATGATTACCAATCTTGAAAACATAGATTACACCAGATTTGTTAAAACACACAATTCAGCTATGAAACTATTTTAAAGCACTCATTTGGGTGCTTTAATAGTGCGGTTATGAATGGAAAATAGCAAAAAATACTAATCGTATTCGAGTATATTGATGAAGTATCAAACTAAACTTCCTTGAGCGTTACATGTGATTCATCATGCATTTTATTCACATATTTATTCACATCCTCGGCACATTTTAAATACATTACTTACCAACATCTACATCTATATCTAAGGCATGTTCTTATTCTTAAAAACTGTTTTCACAAGTATAACACTTCTTCGAAAATGGTGATGATTTGTAGATCGCACCACCATTTGGAGAGGTTTTCATGGGCTGTAAATGGACAAGCATGAACGAAACTTGCAATAACCTTTTCTCTCCAATGTTAACAGAAGATGGCATTTGTTTCACATTTAACATGCTAGACAGAAGCGAACTGTTTACAAATGCTGTGTAAGATAATACTTCTTTAAGGCATAGTATACCTACAATTTATACTATTCATAATCATAACCGATTCTAGCTACTTACACGGAGACTACATGGGTCACGACAAGCGATCAGAAGGATGGACACTTGAAAATGGTTATCCTAAAGACGAAGGAAAAGACACATTTCCTAGAAGAGCTATGTCAGCAGGGTCTAAAGCTGGCCTATTTCTTCTTTTAAGAGCTTATGAACAGGATCTGGATTATGTTTGTCGTGGACCAGTACAAGGCTTTAAAGTATTGTTGCATCACCCAGCCGAAGTACCAAGGGTCGGAACTCAATATTTTAGAGCACCACTTAATCAAGAAATTGTAGTGGCAATTAAACCTGACATGATGACAACTTCTGCAGGTTTAAGAAACTACGATCCACATCGAAGGCAATGTTTCTTCGCAGAAGAGCGACAACTACAATTTTTCCAAAATTACACACAGCAAAACTGTCAAGTGGAATGTGTTGCAAATTATACTCGAACTAGATGCGGTTGCGTCGCTTTCCATATGCCACGTAAGTTTATTCTCAATTTCAATAAAATCTAATCTTATTTAAACTGTTGCAGATGAAGAATCGACGAAAATTTGTGGATCTGGAAGTAACCAATGCATATTCGAAGCAGAACGTAAGATACTGATATTATTTATATTTATGCCACTGTTGTTGTTGTTGTTGTTACTAATGATGCCATCGCTAAAGTAATCCACAGACAAAAGTAACTAATAATTTACTTCTGAGTCACTTATGCGTTCAACCACAAATTTTATTTTGCCTAGAAGCTAAATATAAATAGGACATTTTAGAAGCAAGGATAATGTTTTCGACGAAACTATTTTTAACAACTAACAGCGAAATGATGAAAAAAGACAATAAACAAATGATGATGTTTTGTTATAAATATAAAAGACGCACGAATTTTCTTGAAATGTTACATTCACACATTTTCTATAAGAAAAATATTTAATTTTAGAGGAGTTGCTAACTCGCGAAGTAGAATCAGGACTTCATCGTTTTGAAGGTGATGAAGAAGAGGGTGTTTCAAAAGCAGAATGTGATTGTTTACCTGCCTGTACTTCCATAACGTATAATGCAGAAACTTCGCAAGCCGACTTCAATTGGCCTATGCTTTTTCAAGGATTCAAAGCTAATTTTAGTGAATTTCCAGGGTAATTTTTATTTTCCAATAATATTTCCCTCAATAAATTATTTAATGCTTTTATAGGATTCAGATGACCAGATTAACACTGTTTTTCAAGGATATGCAATTTATCACTTCAGAAAGAAATGAGCTTTATGGACAAACAGATTTCCTTGCCAACTGTGGAGGATTATTGGGTTTGTTTACTGGATTTTCGTTCTTGTCGATCGTTGAAATCGTATATTTTCTGTCATTAAGATTATTGTGTAACATTAAAATGTATGGGGTACACTTCTGGTCTGGATCGAAAACGTTATTAAATGACGATGCTTATCTACACAAGTAAATTTGTTAGTGCTAATTTATTATTATTACTATTACTCGTAAAAACCTTGTTTAATTTCAAGTTGAAATAAATCGCAAGTTATAGTTTCAATTTTTAATATGTAACTTTTCCGATAGTTTAACTACACTAAACACTAATAGACACACATGCAAATACACAGACTACTAATTTTGCAACCATGATTTTTCAAATTAGAATGAATTCTTTAAAGTTTTATTTGTATACCTATAAGGTAGTTCTTTACAAATCCATTAACTAGATTAAAGTATTTAATGTACCTACCACAAAAAATTTTATCACCATAACGTATTTGCTTGTTAAGCATTCTACATTCTGCATTCACTAGAAATAACAATTGTATTTATGCGTACTCATCAAACAGTGTTTAATGTACCATGAAAAACAAAATTTCACCATAACGGATTAACTTATTTTATTAGTTTTTTACATTGTATATACGGTGGAAATACTTACAAATTTCATAGCAGATTATTATAACAATGTTGTAGTTTTACGTGTGGTATAAATTTAGAAAATTTAGAAATGCCGGGTGACTCGGAATTTATTTAATAGATAACAACTTGCATATTAGTAAGCTTCTTCTCATTTCAGTACCTACTGAAATGCGATGAAAGTCAAATTTAATGTGACTACGGAAAGAATTTTTTGAAACAGAAAATTTTAAACAAAATTTAACAAATTCCGGCAGCCATGTGCTCAACAACCGAAATATTCTTGATGTATGTAAGTGTAAATGTATTACAAATTTTCTGTGATTAACTTATCTGTTATTATCAATTTTTTTTTTTTTTTAATATAAAAAGCAATATGTTGTCACGGTTAAATAAACTCTGATACAACCAGTCTAATTAAAAACATGTATTTTTATAAAGAATTATATTCACTTTCAATAAATATTGTTTAGTATTAAATAGGTGTTATTTAGACAAAACTTCCCTCTCTCTTGAAGTAAAGTACAACATATCCAGCTTTTTCGAAACATTATAAAATTTAATTTTGCTCCACATAATGGTGGAGTCTGGATTCAAATACTTCCCGCACATTGCGCAAAGTTGTCGGAGTTATTTGTTAACACTCCCAAATGAGAGATTCTAATCTAGTTATGTCAACCTTTGACTTAAAATGCTCAAAAAAAATCAAATGACGTGAGATTTGGTGAATTGGTTGGGTATTCTACAGGACCTCTACTGCCTCAGAAATTTATTGTCTAAGAAACTCACAACTAATACACAAGGAAGAAATGAATAGATACTCAACTAACGAACATGGCATTAGTCAGTAGTAACTGCTACTGTAAAAGTAGTAACTTGATATTTTTAGCACTGAAGATAGAATTCACTAAGATAACTTTTTAGATCCGTAATTGTCCAAGTAACTTGACAAACCTCTTCTTGTTGCTTGAGAAATTAAAACACTAAAGCAACATTATTTGCAAGACCTGAACAACAATATATCGAAGTTCTGGTTGTAAGAATGTGTCATTAGAATAAACAAGTGTCAATGTACTTTTCCACAAAACAATGAATCCATAGAATGTCTGAAATTGATTAAGATTCGATGCGACACACTATCAACAAACATAATTAAGAACCATCCAGATTAAACCAGCTTCCACAGAACAAAAATCTCTTTGAAATTGGTTCACCCGTTTGTCCACACCAGACAACAGCTTCAACGTTATAACACCTCTCCTTTTGCGTTGGAGGTTAAAAAATGAACTCTCTATCTTCCGCTAACTCACGCAACTTCATTCATCTATTGGTTAAGACCATATCATGGACTTTGACAATGATTTCTGGTATGACGGCAGTTTTTGAACCTCCAGAACGTGGTGCATCCTCAACGGTTCTTCTCCCGCGCTTGAACTCATTGTTGGAAAAATCTTTTGATGAATTTCTTTCTCAGTTTTCCGTTCCAAAAAGAAAAAATGAAATGTGAATCACACCACCAATTGCAATTTTCTCCATTTTAAAATCACTCGACACATGAGTAGATACTTAATTAACTCCTAAACGAAGAATTACTGACAAAATGACTTGACATATCAAATCGTCAGCCATAAGAAGCCTATGTGAAGTCTATTATTTATAAATATATTTATTGCTTTTAAAGAAAAAAAAAAAAGAATTGAAATCATTTATCCGTTTGAGAGCTATGGTGTAAAAGACAGACACAAAGACATCAGCTGATGATTTTAAAATGGCTGAAGCGAGTTTCATCAAACATAGCTAAGAACCATCCCGATTAAATTAGCTTTTAATGAAACAGCCGCATTAAAATCGGTTCATCCGTTTGGGCGCTAATTTAAAAGTCCCTATAGATAAAAACTTAAGTAGATCCCTTAAAATGAAATCCCGTAAAAAATTCATTTCTACTCTTTTTTACCGCATTTGACGTGTGAATCTCTTATTATCTTATATGATCATTTGAATGAGAAACATTAAATCAAAGTTAAAATAATGAATTGTAAAAGTAGATGATATTTAATTCGTATTTCAGTCTATTAACTACCAAAACTTTTAACAATATTGCAATTAAAACATATCATCTTGATTAAACAAAAATATACTTTTAATAAAATATATAAGTAAACACAAGAAAAAGTTAAAAATAATTATCAAACTCCTGCTTTTCTTCCACATTAAACACTCTGCGACTATTTTTCTTTGTTGGTGTTTCAATTTTTTAACAATATCTTCTTTGTCGTACTATAAAACATTTACGGGATCCTGCCATTTCCATTTTTTGGCCCCAGTGTTGGCATCACATTTACACATACCATTGACTCTGATCTGATCTTAACAATCTTCTTTTTTAGTCCCAGTTAGTGTTTTACTTTGGTAATAAACAAAAGGTATAAATTGTGTCAAAATACATATAACAAGGTGCTTATACTCTGCATATCATAGAAACAGATTTCTTTCAAAAAATTTAATAAACATTTGTTATTATACCATAGGTATACCGTTTGTCTCTCGTGGGTCAACGCTTCCACGTGTCTGAAATATGAGATTTTTTGGGATCATTATACATGTATGGCGCTATTAACTCGCTCTCCTAATCTCATCGCAGTGTTTAACGATTACCAAACTCTTCGTCCATGAGATGTCAGTGTAATTTTCCATACTCCATACAAAGGACTAGAGAAACAAATTTTCAAGGATAACATCTGACATATCTCAAATGCTTATATTAGCGAATATATTTTTATAATTTTTTTATTACAGAAACACATAAATAAATATGTTTCTAATGCATATATTCTACCACAGCACTGTCCAAATTAAATTGATAAGTTGATTTGATGGTGCTTTCCTCTTTTTTTATGAAGATTTAAATTAGAACTTTGATAATGCAACAATAATTTTAACAAATACAAAATCGAGATAATCTACTTTCACTTACATCATACATAAACATTTTTTTTAACTCGTGTGCAGTGAAATAATTAACATAATACCTTAATTTATCTACAATAATATCGGTTCGATACCCCGATTTTGTTTTTATACCATATAACCTCATTAACAAAACAGGTCAAGTGTTTGTTGTTATTGAAAAAATGTTAATGTCCTATAGCCATTTTATCGAAATCAAATTAAAAATTAGTGCTTATTGAATATTAATGACGCATTAATCTTCAAGATTTGACCTGTTGAACTTAATTAAGTTAACAGCGTTTCTGTAAACCGGACTATACCGCTAGACTTCTTAAGGACAAAAAAAAACTAAAAACAAAATAAACAGTGGCATTTTTTTTTGGAATCTCAGATTTCACTATATAGCGCTGAAAGTTTTAAATTTTGTGCATAATTATTGCACATAATTCGTTATCACCAAAATTAATAAATAGATTTGTCTAATCTTTTGCACTAATTGGGGTACAGATTTTTTGTTGTTTAAAGTTTAAACCGTTTTATTTATCATCCTACCTTGCGGATGCAATATGCCCTATTAAGTTATTAATTTATGTACAATTCACAATGCCCTGCCATTTGATAATTACAACTGTCTGCAGTTATCTTTCTTGAATCGTTACCTGGAGGAATACAATGCAAATCTGTAATCATTAGCAATTTCACAAAAAAATTAATTATCTTTGCATATAATTTGTACGTAATTTTCTCGTCAAAACTTTCGTTGAATTGGCATTATGCTGATTGAAACAACATACTGATGCAAGAATTTGGTGATGTAATTAGAAGATTTCAAGAAAATACCTAAAAGTTCAAGGTCTCTACTGTAATGCTATTCCTCTACGAATATTTCAAACAGTCATCTTTCACCATTCTTCGGGAGCTAAAAGAGTAACACAGTGTGTTCTTAAAAGAGAGTCAATTCCATTATCATGACAGTTCGAAGGTAGTATAGTGTGTGTAAAAGTATCGTCGCAATGCGTGCTTTGTTAAAGGATTTGCGCAGGAAACGAAACAGGTGATTTAGAACTGCAAAAAACTAACCATACAAACAGTGAAGACGGCAAACGCAACTACTCGTGTGGTCAAAATGTGCGTAACCATACTATGGAATTTTGTTCGTTTGGGACTATTCACGGAATACGCTATTTTGGAGAGAATCGTACCTTTATCGAAAAGTAACTTTCTTTTACAATGTATCTTTAAATTACTTCTTTACAATTACAGATTGTGGTGGGCGCTCAGTCTTACTCTGTCTTTATACTTCTGTATTTCGTTAATTATAACTGCTTATATACGATGGGAAACTTCACCAGTCATCGTGAGTTTTGCAACAAGAGAAACTCCCGTATGGATGATTCCATTTCCATCTGTTACTATTTGTCCAACTTCAAAAACTAGAGTTTCAGTATATAATTTTACACATTATTATCAAAAAAAAATACGGAATGAACCTTTAACAGAGGAAGAGTAAGTGAAATTAAAATTTTTTGTTTCTATGTCTCTAACAATATCATAATAGTATAAAAGTAAAGTCTTAGACGATGTATAATTTATGAATATGAAGTGTTTAATAATTGGTAGGACTGTCCCCATATTTTTCCAAATAATCCTTCTCTAAAATTCGCAAAACACTATTTGTTTGTAGTTTACAATGCATCCAAGTTTTTTAAAAAAATAGTCAATAAAAGAATTTATTTTATCGATTATCCATTTCTTAACGTTGCTACAATTAAAGCAACAATGTAATTTCCACAGTAACAAAATATCTCAGTGAATAAACGGAACTTGAGTGAATATTTTTGAGATTATTTCGCGAGTAGCTCCACAAATCGAATTTTCCTTGAATCTCATTAAAAACCTTAACTACACAGTAAACAAAGGCAGACATATTGGATTTTTAACGAAAAGACTGAAAATAATGTCTGGCCGATTTGGCAATGCAAGTTCTACAGACATAGAAAGTTCAATAAATTTGGTTTCCTGTGACTTGTTGTGTGCTCTAATCATTGCATAATCGCAACATAAGTTACCATTCGTGATCCAAATTAAATCTCGAAAAATTTCTTTTAGTCACTCGATGTTGTTGCAGGGAGATTTTTTCTTGACCAATTGCCATTAGAACAAATCACTCGACTGTGCCTCATGATTTATTCATGTCAATTGAACTCGAAAAAATTTCCTTAAGCAACAACATCTCGTCCAAAATGAAATTTATCCGAGTAAATTTGAAGCACTTATGAGAAAAAAAGAAAAAGAGAAAGACATGTCTGAATAACTTCAGACCATTTTTTTTGTTTTTTTTTTTTTGTTTTTTTATGTATTTCTAATTTCTGACGTGTCGTAAATGCGCCAGTATGTAAAGTGGCGAAATCTATCTGTCGATCTATCTATAAAAATTAATATAATGTGCCAAGATCCATACTATAGCCTACATTTAAAGTTTAGAATAATTTGGCTCTACAAGAGTGGCCAAGAAGTTTTAATTTTCACCACAATTGAAACAACCAAATTATTAATTTATCAACGTACCAAACAAAAATCTCGTGAATGAAACGTCCAAGTATGAGTATATTCCGCCAAAACTGTATTTGCTTTAGAAATTTCCCTCCTACTATTCCTAAGTATCGGATATGAAGAATTTGTTAATATTACAAAAATACGTTTTGAAAATATAATCTTTTAATTTCTCAACTATGAATTATTAATAATACAAATCCGGAACGCTAGCAAAAAGTTGAAATAAATACTTAAGTGAAAAAAGAAATACCATAAAATTTGTCTTTAATAAATAGGTACAAGCGGCCTTACTTTAACTTTTCGAGCATAAGCTAAGGAAATATTGTAATAGGCTTCATCTGACGAACGGCTACTTTCATGTTTCCTCAACATTTGGTGGATCCCTAAACTATGAAAAAATTTAATGACCTCATCTCAACATTTTGCCCAGTGAAGGTTATTTAACTTTTATAAAATACTCGTAATCTACTCTTGTCAGTGGCGGCTCCTCAGAGGAGGCAGGGGAGGCTGAGCCTCCTCTGTTTTGGAGCTGAGCTTCCTTTAATTTTTTCGATGAAAGAATTTGTATTTTTATAGACATTTGTTACTTTTCAGAATATTTTGTTTGATTTAATTTACTTTCATCATATATCAGGTTAAAATATCGAAAAAAATTATATTTGCGTCCTTACAATCATAATTCACACCACTCCGCGTTTGGCTCCAGCGGTAGAAGCTAGCCTCCGCCGAGAATGCATCTTACTATTGAGACCGCAACCTTGACCAGCGTTGCCACGCCGTTTTGCTTGCTATCGGTAGATTTCTTGGATAATTTTCGGTAAATTTCGGCATTTTTTCGGTAGATCGGTTTTTTGTGATAGAAAAGGTATTACACATAAATAATACGGTTTTTTTTTATCATATATGAAGAAGGTAGAAGTATTTTGTTATTAAAAAGAAACAAATAAAAAACAAATATTAACATAGATCATTTAAAAAAATATATCTATAAGTAAACATGCTAAAGGTAGTAGGAAGATTTTGTTAAAAATAAAAACACAATAAAACTATAATATTCCCCTTAATTATTGCCTCAGGTGCTGAACTGTTTCGGGGATATACCGAATTTTGTCTAACTAATTAAAAAATCCCCTTTTAATTATAACGCGCTTAAAAAGAATAGATATTTGACGCTATCTGTAAAAATGTATAGTGGTTACGCTGGTGCGTAATATAGGGAACTAAACAAATCCGCAGAACTAAATTTATACTGAAAAAATATTAAGAAATAAAATTATATAAAAAAAATTATTGAAAATTTACAAATACATTAAAAATAAAAATTTCTTGAATTATCGTAGACTTTTCGGTAGATTTGGTGTTTCAATCGGTAGATCGGTAGACAGAGCCCAAAATCGGTAGATCTACCGAAAATTCGGTAGAAGTGGCAACACTGACCTTGACGCATCATCATTCAGCACTGCATTGGGTAAAATGTTCATCGAGGTGCCGCTTCAGGCCGCTAGCCTACGGCTAGTGCATCTCTTTTCAGATCAAGTCGCACGGATAATTTTATCTCTTTCTTATTAACTGGCGCGATCGGGTGTAAATTGGAAAAACATTGAGGTGCTTTCGCGTGCTCCCTATTCAGTGGTGAATGGTGTTTAGGCTTTAGTACCTACGTAAAGCCTAAGGTGTTTTTTATATAATTTATTTGCGTTTTATTTCTGATCGTTAAAAACAGCTGGTATTATCGGCATATTAATATTACTTATACTTAACGAGAATGAGCAATGAAAATAAGTCAGTCTCATGTGCAGTGTAAAGGCATGAAAAATCACAGGAACATAATATTTTCTTCTACTACTTTAGATTCCGCTCATAAGAAGGATATTGAGAACTATAACGAGAAAGTTGGTGAAAATAGGGCAATTTTGAAAAGACTAATCGATGCAATGGTTTATCACTAGTGTTCTTTTCGTGAGCATGACAAAAAAAATTATTCAGATAATGAAGGATATAAAAAGTAGTGGTTTTCAAATTTGAGCCTCCTCTGAAGAAAACTTCACGAGCCGCCACTGACTCTTGTAATACTGTTTATGAATCCACTTTGATTTTGATTATTAGTATTATAATTTTTAAATTCTTCTTGTTCTATAGGTACATACATAACACTAGATTCCACAAACGTGAGTTGAGCATTTTAAACGAAATTCCCGGGTTCGATTTCGATCCCCGGTGTTTCCAATTTTTTTATTGATCAAATGACTCACTCCATTTTCCCGAAAATATGATAACACAGTTTTATTGTTGTTTGTATTACATTCCACCTATTAAAATGTTGACGACGTCATCGTAAAATGTTGTATGGAAAAACTCACTTGAAACATACGCATAGCTTTTCGTGTACTTTGACAGCCTACACAGTAAAGAAGTGGAAACAAGAAGGTACCGTCGCAAGAAGACTTTGGATAGGACGAGTCATTCTTTAATTTTGCACTTGATTGTACATATCGTGGGAAAATATTAATATTTTTAAAATTAAATAATAATAATAGTAATACCAATGGATCCTAAAATATATCCTTTCTTACCTCTTCGGTCTCCGTGATTAAACAGGCAGAGGGTTTCTAGAAACATACTCGTACTTAACAAAAATTACGATGCAAAACATGCAATAATTTCTAGTCAAAATTTGATATTAATTATTTCATTAAACTTGTATTCACTCCACTAATGTTATTTTCAATAACATAGGGATCGAAAGTTGGGATACTTGTCTTTTCTATGCAGTACAAACACTAATCTCAATTTCAACTCGGGAAAATTCACAGATGAAAAAATGATTGACTTTTTTGAAGAAGTTCAACCAAAATTTTACGAAGATAGTTTTGACTGTAAATACTTAGGGCGTAATTACAACTGCTCCGATCTTTTCACTCCCATTCTAACTGATGTTGGAATCTGCTATACTTTCAATTTAATGGACCGATCACAAATATTGTCAGATCTCGTGTAAGTGACCACAACAGAAAACAATTAAAAAATAAAATAAACATTTTAGGACCCACCACAAAAATTTCCACAAAACTGATGCATCTGATGACTGGACAATTGAACATGGTTATAAAGCTTCAGCTGGATTAAATACTTACCCTAGACGTGCTCTTTATGCAGGAGTCCCATACGGATTAGATATCAAACTGAAAGTACACATGGATGATTTGGATTCCACTTGTGGTGCTTTAATCAAAGGATTTATGGTAAAAATAAGTCACTTTATTTCAACTCACTGCAAAATACAGCTTAGGTACAAATTGCCCATCCTCAAAGACTGCCAAGGGTAAGAAATCAGCATTTCATTGTTCCCTTAGAACGAGTATCAAAAGCTGGAATCGCCCCAGATATGATGACTACGTCTGATGATGTCAAAAGATACAATGCAAAGAGAAGAAACTGTCATTTTCCATCTGAACGACCACTGAAGTATTTTAAAGTATACACACAAAATAATTGCGCTATTGAATGTAGAACCAACTACACATTAAGCCAGTGTGGTTGTGTTCCCTTTTATGTGCCAAGTGTGTTAAATTGCTTTTCTTAAAATTCCCACTTTGCCTCATTTGTTTGCAGGAGAAGAAGGAGTACCAATTTGTGGGGCTGAAAGTCTTCACTGCTTAAACACGGCCAAAAGTAAGTATCACGGGCGCTGGATGACACCTGCCACCACTTGTTTACTATTTTTTGATACATATTTTATACATTTTATGCCAATAAACATTTAGACAACTCATTGAAAATCTATAGACTGCAGTTTTGATCTAATGTTAGTCTGCTTGCTTATAAGGATAAATTTTAGAATACTAGACAATCATTGAAATATGCTGTACTGATAAGACCTACGGAGGTCGAAACTGCGCCCTTTAGATTTTCTCTCTACTTCAACTTTCAGTTTTGTTTTTATTTTATTATCTTTTTCCTATACATGTTTTATGAAGCTGGCATCATAAATTCATAATAACAATGTAAAAATAAAAATAAACAGTAACGTCTGTTATTACAGAACTAAATACATTTTTAAATGATTTCTCTTCATGTGTACAAAAATTGAGATAGAGACTCATTTCCGACTCTATGTCAAATGTTTGAAACCATATGTATTTCCCTGAATCACTTGCAGAGTTCCATTATCCTCTTGTTTTCAGAGAGAGAGCTTCTTGGAAATGTCCAGAAAAAAATTAATGCTCTAAATAAGGTCAAAAGCACAGAATATGACGACGTTCCCGACTGCCAGTGTCTTCCAATTTGTACTTCAATGTACTACAACATAGAAAACAGTCAGACTCCCTGGGACTGGAGAACAATCTACAAATACAACGAAAACCCTAATGTCAACAGCAGCGATAAAAAGTAATAATTTTATTAATTTTTCCAATTTAGTAAAACATATATCATCTTTTAGTTTAATGATCTCCCAACTGCAAGTATTTTTTAAAGGAAATCAATTTATTAATTCTGAAAGAAATGAACTCTATGGTTCCACTGAATTTCTAGCCAACGTTGGTGGCTTGTTAGGGTTATTTATAGGATTTTCTGCGTTATCTTTTGTTGAAATTATATATTATTTAACCTTAAGAATCGTATGTAACATTAGCATGTTTGGAAAAAATAATTGGTCAGGAAAAACTGACTAATTTCATATTTTACAAGAGCCCAACATAAATGTAAACATACATATTATAAACATTGAAAAAAAAAGATTAATAATAAATATACATATAATACATACCTGTTGATTTTTGTAAAAACTTAATAAATAAATAGGAACCTAATATCCTTTTTACTAAGTGTTTTCCACTTTTCATTTTAAGATCTTCGTTCCACAAAGCTTTTTTTTTTTAATTTAACAAAATTACTAAATTAAGAATGGATTGTAAAGTTAGAAACAACAACGGTTGAAATATTCTTCTTGATAAACCCAATATTTACACTACGACTTACGTACGCTCTTAGAAACCAAATTTGGTATAAGATTATTTCGACAGAACTTCGCTCGCCCCTGAAATACATTACAACATATCCAGCTTTTTCGAGAAAGTAAGTATGTGATTTGATATTGCGCCTTTATTTTTTTTTTTTTTTAAGATAACCCGTATAATTTAAAATAAAGATATGTATGTAACGTTAAACGAAAAGTAAAGAAGCGTGGTATGTGTATGTTTCAAAATGAATATTTCCATTGCAAAATTTATCATGACGTCATCAAAATTTTAAACTTGGATTGGTGCAGTGTAATACTAATAATAACAATATCGTATTTCCAAATTTTTGGAGAAAATAAGTGATCCGTTCTTGATTTAATCAATAACATAAAGTGACTGGTGATCTGAACTTCCGGGATAAGCCCAAGAAATGCTATTAAAACATGTGCAAAATGAAAATAATGAGACGTAATGTCAAACAACCGGAGACGTAATGATTCATTCATTCATTTTAAAAACATGAATGCACTGATAAACCACAAATATAGACTCATAATGTTTTGCACATTTTAGATATGATTTATTCAGCAAAATTTTAACATGACGTCCGCATTTTTTGGAGGGGCATAAACGGATACATTTTGATTAACAACTTACCATAGTCAATATAACTTTAAAAAACATCCAATTTTGCACTTTCAAAGGTCAATTATTAAACGTTAGAATATATTATATTATTATTATAATAATTGTCTATATTTCCAACAAGAGTAACTCAAATACCGGAAATTAGTCAAAGTACAAAATAAATTAGGAAAATATTAATGTACAAATAATAAAACAAATAACAAAGAAAACATTCAATAACTAAATTAAACATAGAGGGTTAAAATATCATCGAAATTCAACTACGGCTAATTATGGCATATTTAGCATTGGTAGATATAATAAGCTCACATAATATTGAACATAAGGAAAAAAGAAAGACAGAAATAGTGAGAGAGAACTAATTAGGAAAAGAGGATAGTGTTGAACTGTTGAAAGTTCTACGTATAAACGTTAACTTAATGAATTGCGCAATTTTTTATTTAAGTATAATACTAAAAATATCAAAAAAAGATTTAGAAAACCATTCGATTTAGCAAGATTCAGAACCATAAATTTGGTGAAACAAAATTCAGTATTACTATTATTATACTCTCATTATCAATGCAAGTTCCGTTTTGTTTGTAAAGTAAAAAGTAATAGGAATTATTAAAAACAGTTGTTCAAGGATGAAAAGTAATAAGCATTCATTACAAAAATTGAAACTCTATTTTACGTTGAATTCATACTTGTGGACAATTCCGGATTACAGAATCCGTGGTGATTGGATGGGGTGTAACAGGTTTCGATATAACGGACTTACATAATTAGGAATAGACAGTATTCTACTGCAACAAAATTCGATGTACATAACAAGATCAATAATTAAGATGTCAGGGTACGATATAACAGGATTCTATTTCTACTCAACAGAAAAAGCACCAAATTTGCGACAGATACAGTTTTCTTAAAATATTAGTTGCATACCGATACCAGTATCCATCCGTATTAATGGTTGCATACCCTTGATATCTCCAAATTTATACACCACATCGGTATAAAAAATATCATCTAATTACAACACTCACAAGTCATTGAATCAAGTAAGAAAAATCCAAAGATCAACTCAAGTTAAATCGGAAGTGCATAACCCCTAAAAAAACGTATTTTATCAGCACTGATCCTCTCAAAGAGTCAACACAAATTTTACATTGTCTGGCATGGTTTTTGTCATTCCGTACATCTGACGGTTAAAATGTATTTTTTTTTATTTGAATTACAGCTTTTCCTGAATTTTCATATTTTTAAAATTACATTTTGCTTTTATAATGTAATGAGTTACACGTCATCCTTCAAAAAATATTTTGCACTTGTGATATCTCCATAAAGTGAAAACCAGTAGTGTAAATAACACCCCCGCAGTATCTGTGCAGCAGGGGCGCAAATTCCAAAGTGGCTTGAACCAGTATATTTCAAGCAGTTATAAAACCAAGGAGAAATAAGTGTATTTAAGAACATGTTTTAATTCAATTGTTTATGTTTATATTTCGAAGGGATCCAACAGTTAGCACGTTCACATAACAAGCATCAGCAACGATATGTATTTGTGTTAAAATGATACGCAATTTGATTGATTTTGTCTCGTCAAAACAGGCTATAATTAATTAAGTCAGAGTTGACCAAAACATTCCGAACATTATTTTGGGTGAGCAGTTGATTTTATGAAACTTTGATTTTGCAATTTCGAAGTTAAGTAACATGTTGTTATACAATTTTGACATTTTTTCCAAAAAAAAAAAAACTCAGTACGGCAGGGGCGGCTGGTCAGGGGCGGCAGGGTCGGCCACGCCGTACCAGTCATTTTAAAATACTTAGTAAGCATTGAAATTAGAAAATAAAAAAAGAAATAAAGTTTGAATGTACGTTAGGATAGATCATATATATTAAAAATATATTTTATTATATTGTAGGTACAAAATAAAGCATTTGTTGCTAATTTTAAATGCTGATAAACACGGTTTGCCGGCGAGATTTCGGCACGCCGTATCCAGGAATGCATTATGCTCGATGTTTCGACTTCGTAGCAGCTTACGATTTCATCGTTCTCTTTGTCTAGTACACTGTAGTAGACAAAGACCTGGCGGAACGTATGTTGTGCCAGGTCCGGCGAAATCCTCCTTCGCCGTACCCAGCAACGCGAATTTAGTTTTTAAAACGCTTAATATTTAAGATAGCTAACCAAATTACAAAACAATAACGGCTTCGATGTTCTTCAGTGCATACTATTTTTTTTTTTTATAATAATTGTCGATTTAATACATTTTCCTGTGTATGAATAATAAACGAAAAAAATTACATTAAATTATCTAAAATTTTATTTTTCGTACATAACTTAGCTACAACATAAGTGCGCTTTTTCTGTATTTTTAGCATCTAAGCGTTTTCAGATATTTCAGAAACGAATTTAAAGTTTTAAATCATTTTAATTTTTCAATTATTCAATTAATTTATTTGACAATTTGTCATATACCTACATTAAAAAAAAAATAAATGTAAATGAAGATAGTTAAGAGTTGGTACTTTTGTTATTACTTTTTTTTATATTTTTTAACTGCATGTCATTATTTAATTATTATTATTTAATTGTGGATGTCCGGGGTCGGCAAGCCGTATAGCCGCCGGTCGACGCGGAACTCAGTAAAAATAATGTTTTCGGTGGTTCTCAATTAATGATAAAGCAGAACAAGTAGAATTAAGGATTAATAGTATTTGGAATCAAACTGACATTGTCAATTTCCTATAAAAAATTATTTTAACAGGTCGAAACATTTGAGATGTTTTGTACATCCTGGCACGTAAAATGTCAGTGGTTAATGAGTAGCAGCCATACATTACGAAAATATATAACACCAAGGTGTAGACTCAAAATATTTGGCCGACCCGAAATTTTGACCCACCAGCCGCCACTGCAGTACGGATTCATAAAGCACAAGTACAAAAGTATCTTATTCTATAAAATTTAAATAACATTTACAACTGCCAAGTTTCGGGATGACGTAATCTGATTGTTGGTGGCGATGATTAGATAAATTTTGGTTAACGTTTTACCATCTACTACACGATATTCTTAACATACGTGTAAAATTTGACAACAATTAGTCCAGTAGTTTCGAAGATTATCTGTCTAATAAAAACTTATACATACAAACAGAGAGACGGAAACGAGAGACGTATTTTTTCGTACTATAGAAGTCATGAAACGTTGACACGTTGAGAAAACATGAAAGTAGCCATTTGTCGGATGTACCCAATTACAATATTTCTTTAGCTTGCGCTCGAGAAGTAAAAGTAGAGATGCTCGGTAACAGTTTTTTTTTTCCAGTCAAAAATATCTAAACCACAGCTTTATGTACAACATCGCATAAATACGACCAATACCGTCCTAACTTAAATAGTGCTTTCAACTTAAAAAAAATGCCGTGTTAATGTATTGCTTACAATTTTTGTACGCTACAAAATTAATCCGAACTGAATAATAAATCCAAGAAAATAATAAATGATATTTTTCAAAAGTGAACTAATGGCAATTTTTCTACACAAATTAGATCTACATCCGCAAAAAGTAGCATTTAGCAACAATTCTATCCAACTTATGGCCTCATTATTTGCTTTTAATAAGCAACAGTGTTTTTTTTGTATGGATAAACAAACGAAAAGATATAAAAATCAGCGACGGCTCGTGATCTTTTGAAATAGGGGACACAACTTGATTGATGAGTTAAATATGAATATACTTAGTAGACGAAATTGTGTGTGACTTAAATACAAAAACATACTCAACAGAAATGAAAAAATATTTGTCCACATACCTTTGGTTTTAACTCATTGGTCATTCATTACTTATTGTCAAAGAGAGACACAAAACATGAACACTTTTTTTTATTAATAAATCGGGGGTGGGTCTCCCTAAATTTTTCAATCGAATTTTATCGTCGTAAGACAGAGGACAATTTTTTATTAAATATTCAACAGAATTCATTATTTTTATTTAAAATTAATCAGTTTCACTCACTGAAAACGAACTCCCATGCTTGAATTACTGCTAGCGGTCACTGTTTCAAATTTGA